TGCCTGCCCCCTTCCATCCTGCCCCTTGAAATATTTCACACCTCTAGTATAGCAACACCTGCTCAAACAACTACATTTAATTGCATTCTCTTGGTGCCTGCCCCCTTCCATCCTGCCCTGTAAAGTAACTCACACCTCTAGGACAGCATCATATGCTCAAACAACCATTAAATTGCATTCCCTTGGTGCCTGCCCCCTTCCACCCTGCCCCTTAAAGTATTTCACACCCCTGAGACAGCATCACCTGCTCAAACAACGCTGCAAAGTCTCTTATCCCTTGATATTGCATCCTGCCCCGTAAAGTATTTCACACCCCTGAGACAGCATCACCTGCTCAGACAACGCTGCAAAGTCTCTTATCCCTCTGATATCCCCTTCCACCCTGCCCCGTAAAGTATTTCACACCCCTGAGACAGCATCACCTGCTCAGACAACGCTGCAAAGTCTCTTATCCCTCTGATATTCCCTTCCATCCTGCCCCGTAAAGTATTTCACACCCCTAAGACAGCATCACTTGCTCAAACAACGCTGCAAAGTCTCTTATCCCTCTGATATCCCCTTCCACCCTGCCCCTTAAAGTAACTCACACCTGTAGGACAGCATTACCTGCTCAAACAACTACATTAAATTGCATTCCCTTGGTGCCCCCTATCAACCAGCCCCTGAGAAGTATCTCACACCCCTAGAACACTATTTTTCCTGAGAATAACTTGTATTGATACACATATAGGCCTTAATCAGTGAATCTGCTTACTTGGCAACTATCATTGACTGGGTTTCACATTGGGAATCCGAGCATATATATACACAGTACTAATGTGTACACACATTACGTCAAATGTATCTGTAAGTATGTAGGGTATACTAATCAAACAGTGTAGAGGTAGCTCGCTTTAGAAACTCAAATCATTTAAAAGATTTTTTGGTTCCAATTTCTTGTCATGCTTAAGTTAGTGACTAGGAAAAGTTTATTTGATCTTTCAAAACATAAATCAATCAATATTATATAGGTCTCGCTAGCTATGTTCTAATTCTATGTCAATTTGATAGAGTAAAAATGTCTTCTGCACCAGTATCTATACCTGTGAATTGGGTTAACCTATAAAAACTGTAAAGGTTGTCTTTTCTTATGTTTTCAAATTTCATAATTTATCAAAATATTAAGGCAAAAAGGATTTACGTTGTATTTTAAACCATGACTACCTGATATGGTCTTCTACTAATTTCATTTTATTATAAATTTGTTTTTCATGAACCTATTCTGTCTGAATAAAATAGCAAAAAATTAAACGCTTCAATAATGATTACATTTGTATGGTATATTCTCCTTGCAAAAGTTGGGACCTAATCTTACTGAAACAGATTAAAAAGTGAGCTGATAAACTGACATTGAAAATATGATGGGGAGATTTCATTCTGTATAGCATCTAAATGGATAAATGAGTTTTCATTTCATTGAGAGATTTTGTAAAATGATTCTTACAAAGTTTTTTTTTTATTTTAGTGATCATTGGTGAGCAAAATAAAAAATGTGAGACAAGTTTCATAAAATCTTCTATAAACGAAAATCAATATTGAAGATACGATTTATAATATGCCCCTGAAAAGTTACATTTTGACAGATTTTCAAGTCAAAATGTGGAAACATTTTCAATTCATGACATGACATCATTGTTCATATTATGACATCACAATCAATTTATGATTGGTGCAGCCCATGAAAAATCCTCCAAAGTATATTACACTAGTGACATACATTAAAGTATGCAATGTGATAAATATATGTATATCTAAACAATTAAGTTTTGTTTAGACAAAATTATAACTGATATGATTGTCTTTTGTCTAATCCCATAAAACCAGCTACACTGCAAATATTTTGGTTGGTTACAGGTTTTTCATCTCCACGCCTCTTTATATCTTATGACGCCTCATCGATGAAGTTTGTGTTCTGATTTCATATATATAAATTGTATATAGGGGTCCCAAGAGTCAGTTCCTACTCATACTGGAGGGGTAATATAGGGTGCTACACATCCCCATATCTTTGTATTTAGATTCTTCCGTCCTTCGGAAGGAGAGTTGATAAAATTACAGCCTTGATAAAATTGTGATATAATTACACACAAAAAGATTTCTGCCACAGCTGAGCAGATGTCAGTCTTCTAAGAATAAAGAATTGACAAGCCAGATTACAGTATTATCATATATATTAATAACTTAGCAAGAATATTTCACAAAAATTACGCAGGAGACTCTTGGGGACACTCCCTACTAACTGCAATCCATAACATCATAAATGTAACTTTGTTTAAGAATGTGACCATCATATCCATCATTCACATTGTATACAGGAAAAAAAATTAAATTCAATTTCATTTTCCAGAGATTCTGTACTTTTTCATTTGTTAAGGATAGAATTTATAAAAACTGTTTTTGTAAATAATGATCAACAGTTTCTGACCAAAGTCCTGCTAATCAGTTTATTCAGTTCTAATTCTATGAGTGAACACTATCAGCTATCGTTCTTTTAAAAAATTCTATCAGTACTTCCAACCACTTGGGAAACTGACATTGTGTGATGTTTGGTACAAATTTTAGCAATGTTACAGATATAACTGAAAATAACATGATGATTTTAGTTTTTACTAAAAGCAGTAAAAAATCCGTCACGTGATTATTAAAATCTCAATTGAGCTGACGTTGTGAGTTACAGACAAATAATAACTAAAACTTTTACTTATTATATTAAAGGCATCACTTTGCTGACAGCTATTAAAGGTTTGTATACAATCAAGTGACATCAGTTGAAATCACTTTGAAGTAAGCTGTCAAAAGATATCATATTAAGATAGATAAGAATTTGTCATATATCAGTTGTGGATGTGTATTGACGAACTCAATTAAACATTATCATTATAGAAAACTTCAATCATTTTTAATTTGTTGCATTCTAATTTCTTATGTGGCTATATATTAAGTTCCTTTCTAAGAAAAAGTGATCGTCTGTGATTTTTTTTTATCACCAACAATTATACGACAGCAGCTACAGGTGCACTTAAATGACATAAAGCTTCAATAGTTGAATTACAAAATATACCACAGTCTCAATTCTGTTAAATTATAGATTAGCTTATCACATCAACTAGATGTTTATGAAAAGGCTGGATACTATGTTTACCTCCAAAACATGTTCAAAATATGTTGCACATTTGCCAGTGTGGAACTGGAAAGAGCAAATGCAGATCATGTGACTTGTCTTTTGAAAGTCACAAGAGTTAGCTCCCTTGATAATGTTCATAAAGTTTAGAATATATATATATATAAATCAAATGTGTACAGAATGTTGGTACCATTTTTTTAACACAAATTTGATGAAAAAATAATGAAGACTAAAGTATGGTTGTATGATCTTGAAATAACAACAAACAATCTGTTCACAAGACTATCTTTTTTCTACGTTTCATTTTTGTTGAAATTTAAAGCATATGTCAGTTTTGGATGTGTGTTGATAAAATTAATCAAAGCTGATTTTTTTTTAAAAAATCCAATTGGCGTGTTACATTAAAACCTAATATGTTATTTCTATATAGCTATGTGTTTCATTCCTTTCTATGATCACACCCACTTTTTCTATCACTACGTCAAGTTACATAACATATGCTTTAAAAGTTCAAAAGCCACAGTCTGGTAAATTATAGATAATATGCTTGAATCAACTGAACATGCTATGGTTAAAAACTATTTATACCATCAACCATACAAATTTATTACACATTCGCCTGTGTGTAATTCCAAATTAACAAATGCACATCATGTGACTTGTCTTTTGGAAATAAAGAAAATCAAAAGAGTTAGCTCCCTTTACAATTTTGATAGATACATATCAAACAAGGGGAAAATGTCTGTACAATTTTCATTTACACAAGTTTTCAGTCCATTTCCAGAATCTTGGATGATCAAAAAAGTAAAATCACTATAGTATGATGGTATGTACTTTAAACATTTCAACAATAAACAATTTGTTCATCAGAATATTTTCATTCTTCCTTTTGTTTCTGTAGAATTTTAGAGTGTGGGGAAAAAGGTATCCAATGCCGTTCCTTTCAGAAGATTTTCCTGACATTAAACTTTGGAGGCCTTATCATGAAGACCTCATCGAAGAAATATATTTCATATTGATATATTAATAAACAGTGACAAAGCAACTGTAAAAACTTCTATAAACTTATATATAAAGGTTATCATTCTTGTTGGATGGATGGAAGTGTGCAAAAAGTTTTATAACTGCAAGAAGAAACTGGACTACCAGGAGAATTAAGTTAGATATACCTTTTAATGTTCAATCCTACCCTTGTCACACAAGTGGAAAGCTAGAGTGCATGTATAACCATTGAATGACTGCAACCATTAAAATAATGTTGTGCCTATAGCTGTTTTATGTATAACTATTAATAATTTGAGTCAAGCTTCAACTGTAATAATTCTATAATTATAATTTTATCGCCAGTGTTAATATTGAGACACAACCTCTATAATTTTACCTCCAGTGTGAATATTGAGACACAACCTCTATAATTTTACCTCCAGTGTAAATATTGAGACACAACCTCTATAATTTTACCTCCAGTGTAATCAGAGACACAACCTCTATAATTTTACCTCCAGTGTAAATATTGAGACACAACCTCTATAATTTTACCTCCAGTGTAAATATTGAGACACAACCTCTATAATTTTACCTCCAGTGGAAATATTAAAACACAAAAACTTTAATTTTACCTACTGGTAAAAATATGAAGTGTATATCTCTATAACTTTACTATGTTAATATATGAGGTTATCTCTATAATTTTACCTACAGTGTAAAAATTTAGACACAAATGGTATAATTTTATCTTCTTGGTAAATACTGAGACGACATCTAACCTTACCTCCTGTTTAAATAGTCGGAGGACACTGACCTCCGTAATATAATGAGAATATTTCTATCACCTTACCTGCTGTCTGAAGTTCTTTAGTTTTCTATCTATCACATCCTTCTCATCTTTAAAGACAGAGAGTTGCTGCTCAAGTTCTGATATCCGCGTATCTGCTACCTGGAGGAGGTCAGCCACATAAGGATCATCAGTGGGCAGCACAAAGGGCTTACTTGGGCCCTCAAACTCGGGCACAGCAGTGTCAATCTCCATGCGTTGTCTCCTAAAGGGAATGCTCTTCTTCTTACCACCTACAGCACAAAACGTACAATGACAGGCAATACTACTTAGTAACAAACTAAAAAAAGACTGTCCCTACCTCTAAACCTTGTTTATGCCATCTTTTTAATTTCCATCTTTTTTTATTCAAACTTGATTCATATCAATTTCTCCACATCAATTACATGGTATATCTTTATTATACCCATTTTCCTTAAGATCTATAACATCAATTACTAAGTTTATCTTTTCACACCCATTTTCCTTAAGACCTTAGTGACACTTAAATAAATGAAACTTTGTGTCTTTTTACTAGGTTACAGTTATATACAGTGACAGCTCTTTTGAATATTCCACAAAGTATTTTGAACATCATGTTTTTAAGAGTCTATTAGTATGTTAAATGCTTGTCTTCATATGTTGTTAACTTAAAGTGTACCTGGTGTTTGTACAACAGCATGGAAGTTTTTCTCCTGTAGATGAAGGATACGCTCCGACTTGGCCTTTGATTCTTTCTCCAGCTGTCTAACCTTATGAACATATTGATTGCTGAGAAACTTGAGGTCAGCATTCTCATGTTCTAGTTTGCGTAGTGAGGCCTTCAGTTCTATGAATAAATAGAGTAAATATTTGTAAATATTCGACACAAAAAATTATCAGCCCAGGCCTGCCAATTACCCTATTACTGAGTCATTTTGGTGGATAAAGACTCTATTTGATAATATTTAATAAGAATTGTCTGACATTCTGCAATCAGGTGAAATTAAAATCAATTTAAAATCTAACAAAAGCTATCACAAGTGTACTCTAGACCTTTTTGTGTCACATGAAACTTATCTACAGTATAAAGTAATGACTAGAATACATATAGGGCTTCCAAAGAACAGCACAAAGTGAACAGGATGGTATATAGTTTAAAATGTGTTATAATATACATTTGGTATTCACAACTAATACTATAAACTCCTTATTCTTCAGATTTCATTCAGAAAATACATTCTTGTAATTTCGATCTACTACAATGTACATGTAGTATTTTGCACCTAAATGCAAACTTATATGTATTGTAAAAAATCTGCACACGAAATTCATATATACATGTATAAGGCAAAAAAAATCAGGTAATGCATGACGCATATATAATTGGTCCTTCTGATCTGCTCATTTTAGTGGATTTACTACAAATATAATTTAATCACTGAAGGAATGTGTATATTGAATCACATTGTATTGTAACATAGTATCGTATCGTGACCACACACCATACAGCCAGAGCTTCCAGAATTTGGATCAAAGCACATAAACAAACATGTGTATCAGATATATAATCCTGAAGGGGACGAGAGGCCATGGGTCCCTCAAAATTGAAACTGACCCCTTCATTTTTCCAGTTTCTTTTAATTCTATAAAGGATTGACCATTTTGGTTTTGACATTTGACTGATAAATAGTTTTGAACGGCCAACTGCTCTAAGTACCTGCGATTTTCCATGACAGTGTATATAGGTATCATCCTAAAAAAGAAAGTAACAATTCATTACTTGTATGGTTCACCATCATACCTCTTATTACTGCATCAGAGTCTTCCTTGTGTTTGATCAATTGTTGATGTAGGTCATTGTTTTCCTTCACAAGTTTGGCATTATCACTTTTATATGGTTCAACTGCAGTATCAAAGTCTTTGTGTTCAGTATCCTGTTTTCCTAATTCAAGTTTTGCATGTTTTAGACTCTCAGTTGTGTGCACGAGGTCTGAAAACAACTTTTCAGCCAATGGAAGTGATTCTAATCCTAGTGTTTGCCTGTACCCAAGTTGGTCCAAACGTTTCCTCAGGTTTGAAAACTTCTGTTGGGCTTGTTTTGTTGTCTTGTCTGCCATTTTGTCTCTTTCTAAAATTCAATAAAAAAAAATAAGAGTTGAAATAAATGAGAACAAAACAAAAACTGAAGAAGCAAAACAGACTTGTTTTTCTTTTTTTTTAGTTTTGTTAGCTAATGATCAACCAACCACATAATATATGGTAATTTATTTTCACATTCAGTTACCATTAGAATCTATACTATCATACAACCCAATACAGTTCCGAAATTTACCATTTTTTATTATTGTTTTTTATCTTTATTGCTGAGATGTGAAGGAAGGTAACCAATTCATTTCTCATAAATTTGTAAACAGATCATGAACAACATTAAAGGATAAGTTAAATAGTTATGATTTCAAATTTATTTTAGCTTGCATGCAAACAAAATTGATGACAGTTATGTTTCTGAAAAATCAGTCCTGTGACAAATTTATCCTTATTTATTATCTACTGGTTGGAAAGGCTCAGTCAAGTGTATCGTTTTATTTTTTTATCTAACAAGACCTAGGATGATTACCAAACTAATTTATGTGAATAAATACCTCTCTGTTTTTGTCAACTAGCTTACCTCCTTTTCCAGTAAAACTTACGATCAGAGCAATCTCAAAGATCAGAAAGCTATAATACTTATTTTTTTCAGGTTTTTTTTTCCACATAATTTATTCAAGAGATAGGGGCCAATCTAAATATTTACCAATAAAAGTAAAAATAAAAATTTACTTTAAAAATTAGATCTAGATAGAACTGCATCCTGAAAGTGTAAATCAGCCGGATTATGATTAAATAAATGATAATTTGGTAGTAGAAGAGAAGTTCTTATAACACAATCGGTAGTATTTTAGAGTGTGACATTTCAATGACTGCATGATCACTTTCATCAGACAAATAATCAGTGTGTAGCATACTAGAGCTGTAGTATGTAGAGTATGTAGTGTATGAGATGGAACTTAATCAACCAACATTTTCAGCTGTACTACAATCCTATGTAAAAAAAAAAAAATAAATAATAATTTGGTTGGTTGTCCTTAATAGCATTGTGATATTTCGCACCCAACCTAACTAATTTGCTACCTCATTACAGACTAAACACCATTTGTAATTTATACCAGGTTTGTGTTTAAATAAATAAGCTGTTGTCCAATTTGTTTGAAACTGTTTAATTTTGTGAGCTTTGTCTTTGGTTTCTTAGAGTATGCAGAATACACTTTAAAAAGAACCACCTTTAATTTCCTGTTTTTTCTCTGATTATTGTTTTCATTAAAACATAGTGGATATTATCTGTGTGAACAACACACACTGATTGTAACTAGACTAGCAAATAGCCTGAAATGAATTAAATATTGGACTGTCTCAGTTTTATGGTCAGTGGGCCTAAACATGCATGTATGTGTGTCATCATGATCACTTATTAATGGATATAACCAAAACAATAAGTGTTAACTTGCAAAGCATAATGACAACAGAATGTAATATTTAAGGAATACACTCAAAAATAGATTTCTCTTGAACAAATTCAGGTACAGTATGCTGTTTCAGACATATCTGAGACTTGATGACAGTTGAAAACTACAGATGATTTGTTTATATATTAAATTGATATTGTCATTTGTTAGGCTTGTTTTGTTTGTTTATATATTACACTTCAATTTTGGAAGTGGAGGTGAAACATCATTTATTCAGAATTACCAATGGGGCAAACTGTATCAAATAGGTATTGTGGTATCAAACATTCATCCTCATCAAATGCTCACTTCAAAATACTAAATGTTTACATCAAATATTGGCAATGAAGTATTAAAAGTAATAAGCTTGCAAACAAAAAAATATAATATTCATGGTCATCAGTTGCAAGGGGTTGGTGATTGGCGGGATGTGACTGGCAATATAAGTTAGGTTAAAGTGATTGTGACTTTCATGCACCTTCTATTTATGCATTCCGGAAGGCGAACTGCATCTACACCTTCAGCTTAGGGGTAAATATTATACTTTAACATCTTCCACAATTACACATGTACATTTGCAAATACTTGTAAGGAATACACTTAAAATTAATCATTCGGTTTGCTGCGTGTTCAGTTATCAAATACATCAATGGAAAAAATCTGAAAACTATAGAGTAAGTGTCTGTTAAACAATTTGAAATACGACAATCAGAATTCTAAACATTTTCCATTTCAAAATTGACCGTAGTAATATAATTTAGCTGACATCGCAAGTGTACATTTTATAGTCTATAGAACATTGACTTATCTGTAAACATGTAAACACGACTTAAAAGACATATTTTTCGTTCAAATCATCCGCATCGTTTTACCTGATACTACCCACGATATTATCTTCAGTTCACAGCAGCTTATAGGGAAGCAATTAAATGCTTCCCATATCTTCTATAATCCAATTTCAGAAAAAATCCATTGGTGTTGTGATTTTATTGTGCATGCCGAAACAAGTTTAGATTATTTTGAATATGGCGGAATAATTTTTCTACCTTTTCATTGAAGAGTTCTACCATAACATTAAGCAGGCATGATGTAGAATGTGGACTGGTCTTTGAGGCTCCCGGTAACCGGCGGTTAGTGAAAAAATCAACTTGTTCTTACCAGAGACATATATAACACATATATGTTATATATGTCTCTGTTATTACAGAAAGATACAAGAGTGTTGAAACGATAAGAATTATTCTCAATTTTGTTTAATCAATGATTGAAAAACTTTTACAAACCACTTGTTAATTATACTTATAACTGGTCATTGAACAACCGGGAACGATGGTTTGGTATTATTTGACATTGTTTAATTACTTTCGACGATCTTTTAAAGTTCGACACCAGCTATCGGTATTATTTTTCGCTACTTATATAACTATTTGTAATGCAACGAATCTGAATTAGATATATCGCTAATTGTACTTTTGATAATACAGAGACGCATATAACGTTATATACACCTCTGTATAGGGTTAACCGATATTGAGTGGAACGCGGCCTAAATTCAGAGAATTTGTATGATATTTTATGCACATTTTGACTCTGATTCATACTTCATAATCTTGTCCCACACTAAATATCGATAAATGGACATCTGAACACAGAATTATCTCCCTTTAGCCACTTAAGTTATTCCGTCTTTTTTGTGATATAACTAAAGAATTATCATCAACCGGAACTTGAATTAGCGAATCACAGCGATTGTTTGTCGCAACAAATGTAATGGCTCAACTGTAATTTGGCGACATTGCCAATTGAGGACGAGGGATTAGAAACTGCCTATATCTCTTGGTAAAGCAGTAGCGAAGAAATTCAAGTGAACTAGCCTAGCTGTTTTTATAAACCCCTTTTCTGCATAAGTACATGCATAATTTATTTTAAAAGGTTTTAAAACAGAAGAAGAAACAGAAAATTAGAAAAGGGAGTCAGAATCAAGAGGAAAAGGTTACGAGAGGTCAATTAGACAGATGAAAATATATATCAACCTGTGATTAGGCAGAGACGTATATACGTCTCTGACATAACACACGTTCAAGAAAATAATATGCGATGCCAGCCCAATACATTTGGCTCATAACATGGGCAAGATATATTTACACTGGAAGTTTAAACATGACTTTGTTAAGACAAATGCGTTGAAACAATTTGATAGGATATCACTTGCAACTGTTTATTATAAGATAACACTGATAGGGTAAACTAATCATGAATGTGTTACCTTTCGCCTTCCAATAGACACTGATCATGTTTAGAATAACCTACCTTTAAGCAATGAGTGTCGTCCGTAAGATTGCTTCTCTGAGTTTCTCGTTAAGATCAAATTAATTTATTATCCTATGAACAAAACTTTAATTTTGACAGAAATGCGATTCCTGTAGTCGATTCTTGTGGACTTTGGGATAATAGTAATGAAAAAATACAGAAGCTATTTGAAATATTCAGTAGGAATCTACTAGAATTATTAGTTATTTGTAAGCATGTTCAGAACTTCATTGTTGATAGTAAAAGATTTGCCTAAACCAGAGACGTATATATCACATGTGCCACATCTCCTTAATGACCCCTTACTTTAAATAACCCAAAGAACAAATTGCTTTAGCAGTGCAAGAGCATTGTACACAAACTTTTGCCAGATGACCTTAGTCTTAAATATTTAAGAGCGGAGCTTTTCAGATTAAAGACAAAGGCTTTGATATCTAAAGTAAAGGGTGGGAATCAGATCAAGAAGTTTAAGGAGGGACTCAGGTTTTCTAAATATAGCTGGGATGTCATGGTTCACAAGGAAGAGAACCAGTTAATGGTTGAGACAATAAAAGCAGTCAGTCAGAAGCAGTTATAAGGAAAGGAAAAAGAAAACAATGACTTAAGAAAAAAGTTATGTAAGTTTAGTTTAGCAACAGAAACTCAAAAAATGAAAAAAAAACACATGCCTGGGTATCAATCAAAACTTAGGAAACTAGACACAGATAAGTGTAGAACAGCATTGAGTTTTCTGACATAAAATGGGGTTACTCCTATTTCAGTTACTGTTATGAGAAATAACAAAGAAGAGGTTTTGAAACTTTTTGATTACGAGTCTAAAGAAAATTCAGAGTTGAATCAAAATGTTGATGACATAAATACCCTCATATACATCATGGATACTTTCAATATTAGTAATGAAGCATACCATGGATTGAGTATGTTATTTAAAGCACTTCCAAGAAGTTATGCTATCAGTAAGATTGTGGCTGAATTAAATTCTAAGTTCAATTGAAATTACTCCAAATGGTCTTTGTTCAACAACCTCTGAAAAAACACTTGGTAAATGTGTTGTGTAATATAAAAGATATGAACAAAAACTTCCCACCAGATGGATAAATCAGAATTAATATTTCTGGGGATGGCACTAATGTGGGAAAGAGAGTTCATGTTGTAAATGTGACTTTTACCATTATCAATGAGAACAAGAGTGCTTCTGTGCAGGGTAACTACCCATTAGCTATTATTAGAACAAAAGAGAAATATCAAGACCTTGAAATTGGTCTAGATGACCTCCGAAAAGAAGTAGGTCAGTTACAGGGAACTACACTGACAGTCAATCAAAGAAATTTCAAAGTTGAAATAATGTTTGGGGGTCATTACAAATTTCTATTGGTAGTTTGTGGAATGCCTTCAATTGCTTGCCAATACTATTGCCTTTACTGCAAATGTAGCAAAACTGAGAAATTAGACCTGTCAAAAACTTGGTCTATGGATGATACTACACAAGGGGCTAGACTTGAATACAAGTACAATGAGGTACAAGGGGGAAATATGTCCAACGGAAAAATGAGAAAAAATGCCAATAATTGTTTCTCTGTGTCATACAAACCTTTATTCCCAACAATTTCACCCCACCATGTTGTGATTGATCACCTTCACATGTTTTTAAGCATTACTGGCAAATTATTTAACCTTCTTGTCGCTGATCTTAGATGCATTGAAAACATAACAGAAAATGCAACTTTTACCTCTACAGTGCAAGATAAAGATAAGATAAAGACGGTCTTGAAGCTCGAAAATGTGTTGCAAATGTTGGGAATACATTTTGAACTTGGTGTAAATGTTGATAGTATAAAGTAAGAGTATCGTGAGCTTACTGGTCCAGAGAAACTTTTGCTGCTTAAACATTTTGATGCAGCTGAGTTTTTTGATGACCGAAATAAAGCCGTTCAGATTCAGAAGTTGTGGGATGGGTTAAGAGAGCTGAACATGTGTATTAAATCTGACACCCCAGATGCTGATGACATAGAATACAAAGCAAAGTTGTGGTGTGACTTGTACTTAAGTTGTTATCCAGCCAAAGATGTCACCCCATACATTCATATGCTAGGTATCACTTAGGTGAACTCCTCAGAAAACATGGTGCTATTGTCCGATATGTACAGCCAGCAGGGCTTAGAAAAGCTCAACGACATTGTAACAAAGCAGTTTTTCAGAGGCACTTCTCACATTTACCAGTATACACATTTATGGTTCACAATATTGTGATCATTTATTTAGAAAAGACCCCTTTTCTCTCGTTACATGAAATTATAAAAAGGTGAAACACATTTTTGTTTTTGCTTTCCTCAAGCAATATAACTCTGAAAGCTTAGGGTATCTTGAAAAAAATGTTTGAAATCTAGATGTATATTAAATAGATTATTTGCACAAAAATGTCCGTTAGATACAAGAGCTTGAAAAAGTTCTCAATTTACATCTATCTAACTTACAAATGTCTGTATTTTTTACTTTTTATTTTTCGTTTGTTATATGTATTTTTTATTATTATTCATTATTTAAAAAAAAATAATTATTTTATTTGTTGAAATGCCTGAAAGGTATTCGTTTTATCAGTATTAAATGCAATGAAATGAAAGTAATTCGCTGTTCACATTTTTCAATTTGGTTGATGCTTCATTCCGTTTACACCGGTATGAAAACTACCTAAGGAAACTCCTAAAATACGAGTGAAACCTATTTCAAAAATAGAATTCATGGATAAAATCATGTACTATTTGATGACATGTTGCTGGTTGTAATAGATGATTGGTCAAGTTCCATGCAACTGAGATCGGGGTTTTTCCGCCACGCATCACGACTGCTTGCTGTTAGGCAATGTATAATGCTCAAAATTAGGTACAAGTCATCCCAAACGTCACAGATGAATCACCCGATAGTCAACCGGACGATTCACTTCAGATATATCAGTTGGCAACTTCCTGAATTTGATAGTATTTTAAGCCCAGAATTATGGACAAGTCAACCTAGACGTCATGGATGAATCGCCTCAGATATTGATAACCTGACAAATCATCTCAGATATTCCTGACCGTCATTTTCTGGAATGCAACAGTGGTTGAAGCCCACAATTATGGATAAGTCTTCCAATAATTTACGTATTAAACTCAGGTATTGCCAAATGGACAAAAATACCTCAGATATATCTGCTATAATGATCATAAAATATCAGTCATCAAACATACAAATGAAGAAAAAAAACTGTTTTGTAAATGGTCCATTTTTAATCATGACACAAAGAAAATAACACTTTGGTTGAAGTTTCAATAATACAAAACAGGTTCAGAGTGTGAACAGGAAGATCAAATTATACTCATGACCATACATAAACAAAGGTATTCTTACATAATTGTAAATTCAAATTTTCAACATAAACAGGAGACCCATGGGCCATAAGGTCATCTGACTACAAAACCTTACCCACAGTCAGATGATCTAAAAATGGAAAAAATTGAAAACTTATTTTTCCAGATCGGGACACCATAAAAGAATTTCAAAAAAGGTAGAATTATTTGGTAGCAGCCTAACTCATATATTAAATCCTCTAATTCTTCAACCAAAATTTCAACACTGCATGATAGTGTCTTGACAAAAGAAAAGGCCCAATGGTCTTAACAGTCACCTAAATTCCATAAACATTGTTTGTGGTGTGTTATATATATCGCATAAAACATCTTGTTTACATAGTTAACGGTCATCCTATATTATGGATTCTCATAGATTTTGAATAAGAGAGAAAAAAAATTCTTTATAAGCTTCTGACTTAATACCACTCCCCAAGGGAAAATGCAAGGATCATGAAATTCATAATTTGGGTTAAAGCATCTCAAAAACCCTTCCATCTATGAAAAGTATTTGATTCTTCCATATCCGAGTGTTGTGGAGATTTTTGAAAATTTGATTCAATTCGACACTGCCAAAGTCCCCTAGGTCGTAGACATAGTACTTCTTTCCATTGGGCATAAAAATATCTACCAAATTTCACTAAAATTGGCTCAGGGGTTTTCAAAAGAAATAAAAAAAGTATATTGTTTTACAAAAGATGGGCAAAATGGAAGAAATTCTTTACAACTCTTTACTATCTAGTATGAAATGCTGTTTAATTTAAGTAATAACTACCCGGCCAATGTTTTATAAACAGGAGGCCCATGGGCCTTAACAGTCATCTGAATATATAGACCTATATATGAAAGAGGACAAATAAGCCTAAGACAAACTGCTCAACTACTCTACAGCATACAGAAGATACTGTTTGGTCATAAAAACATTTTCTGCAAACTTAAAATCATATTCTTTATACATGCTACTACGCAAATGCCATTATTCCGAACCTATTGCTTATTGAAAAACCAATTTCAACAGCCTTGACCTTTTTGTTATTGACAAGAAGTCATCAAAGATTTTAACAAATTTGACCCTTGTGACCTTTAAAAAGTGAAAATATAAATAACATGAACATAATTGGTAATTCATTTCAGCATACTACAGGTTATCAGAACTTTTTGGATATTGAGAAGAAATCATTTAAAGATTATTAAACATTTATTCCTGTGACCTTGAAAATGGGTCAAAATCATTCATTTTATCAAACATTCTTGACAGGAATTTTACATACTGAGCATATTGAAATACTGCAAACTTAGAAATTCATCCATCCTTGGTCAAGTCAACGGAAATATCGTACTTGTTATCTACAAATAGTATTGCCACAATTTTCTTCCTTTTGATTAAAAACTAATCACTGTTTCAATGCTTGCATCTGGAGGGTTAGTTGGAGTTAACATGATACCAACCTGGACAGCTGGATGTTTAATGGGCATCAATATAATGTCAGTCTGGATATCTGGAGGTTTAGTGGCAGTTAACATGATACCAACCTGGACAGCTGGATGTTTAATGGATGTCAATATAATGTCAGTCTGGATATCTGGAGGTTTAGTGGGAGTTAACATGATACCAACCTGGACATCTGAATGTTTAATGGTTTAGTGGGGTCATGATACCAACCTGGACAGCTGGATATCGATATAATGTCAGTCTGGATATCTGGAGGTTTAGTGGGAGTTAACATGATACCAACCTGGACAGCTGGATGTTTAATGGGCAGTAATATAATGTCAGTCTGGATATCTGGAGGTTTAGTGGGAGTTAACATGATACCAACCTGGACAGCTGGATGTTTAACGGGTGGTAATATAATGTCAGTCTGGATATCTGGAGGTTTAGTGGGAGTTAACATGATACCAACCTGGACAGCTGGATGTTTAATGGGTGTCGATATAATGTCAGTCTGGATATCTGGAGGTTTAGTGGGAGTTAACATGATACCAACCTGGACAGCTGGATGTTTAATGGGTGTCAATATAATGTCAGTCTGGATATCTGGGGGTTTAGTGGGAGTTAACATGATACCAACCTGGACAGCTGGATGTTTGATGGGCGTCAATATAATGTCAGTCTGAATAGTTGAGAGTGAGAGTCAAAATTATTTAATCCAATCATCATATTAGAGATCAGATCCAGCAAATACAATACAAACCATTGAGAAGCTACAACAGTAATTGTTAAATAAGGAAATGTCAACAAACGGGCCAACAGGGAATGATTTGCGTAGTCTAACTGCTGATGATGGGTTTGCGAAAATATACATCAATTAGCTTTACAATGACAAACATGAAGTCAACAGCAAGAAGACTTTAAACCAATTTTAGGTCATGCATCCTTACATAAGAATATCTTTGAAAAGCTTTACCTTTATTTTCAAAATTTGACCTCGTCCCTCTGCCTAAGCCTACCAATCATGCAAAACCAAGTTTCATCATCCAAGGATGCTTCAGACAATTTTTGGACAAAATCCTGCTATTCTTACACAAAAAAATGAGAAGATTTTTTCTTTTTTAACATTTATTTCCTCTATTCAAGCCTCTCATATCACTTTGTACAAAGACACGCCTTTCATCCAAATTTAGTCCCAATTAAAGCATAAGTAAAATGATAAGATAATTAAACCCACTTTGCATCTTTTTATGCAGTATATGTACCTTTACGTTTTTGATTCAAAACTGCTTTTCAACAGAAACTGAAGGGCGATAACTTAAATCTCCTTGCAAGTGTTTTGTTTTCACTCAGGATGATTATTTGGTGTTTTTAACACATTTCTAATATCTACTAACGCTCTAGTAGAAAACACGGTGCTTGCCTCTTTAAAGTCTTCGTTAGAAGCATGAGTTATCTCCCTTGCTTGTAATTACTTTTCGACTGTTGAGGCAGGAGGTTTCCCGTTTTATGGAAAGAACCGTCACGTCAAAACCAACATGGTCATCTTCTCCAGAGTGACTGGAGCTATATCCAGTGACTTTGTTGCCAAGTTTCCACAGCACTTCAACTTCATAGAAATGCTAGAATCTGTCTGTGAAGAGACAGGCACACGAATTATGAACCAGGGTACGTGTGGGGGCCTGTATCTTGATATCGTGCATGCTTTGTAATATACAGCTAGCGTCACAGTAGCGGGTTGGTGTATTTAACAGTTAAAACTTTCCTACTGAACGGATTGTACAATATAACATGCAATTAAAGAGCCTTCTTTCACTGTCACATTCATATAAAGAATTGATGGACGTTCAATACTCATTGTGTCATCTCCATGGAGAAGAACTGATAGTTAATATAACTGATAAGCTTAAGTCTAGAAATTCCTCTCTGAAACAAATTATTTCAGCAGGATTCAATACTGTGCCATGTCTTGCAATACCAAACCACAAAGTTATATCGTTGTCGCACACATGTACATGCTATGATAGCCAAAACAATTGTGAAAACCAACTTATCAAAAATGATCATATATCTAGTGGTGTAGCAGAACTGGACAAAATTGACTAGGGATGTGGCTCTATTAGTAGAACTTCTATGTAGATATGAAGGTCCCAGATTTGAACCCTAGTGTGGCATTGGATTTTCTGTTCAGATTAAATTTGTTGCATGTGACCAACCCTGCTTTATGTAAACGAATGCTTGACAATAGGATATCAGAACCTGGGTTGTAAATACTTGTGTTTGTGGATATAATTACTTAGAAAAAGGAGGGAGGAATATGGAAAAAGAACTGGACTGGGTCGATTGTCAATGACCAAGTAGCTCAATTGGTAGATTATCGGTTTGAAGTTTGGAGGGTCCCAAGTTTGACCTATACATGGCTGTTTTTTCCCACTCACATTACAGTTGTTTTATAATTTGTAACATGATGTTCTGTTTGTTTCAGGAAACAACAACTTTGAGATAGTTGGTGACTGGTCACAAATGACTTTTGTCCATAGTATGCTCGAAAATACTATGGCTATATATGGTGCTGTTGCCATGGTATCCAGTGCTTATCCACCGGCTAAGGACCTAAAGATAGCTCACAACAAACGCATGACTCCTGACACCAATGATCCAATTGTGCGGGATGGTCACGGCGGAATGCGTGACCAAACCGACATGGGGGATAATTCTTACACATCAGGGAACCAAGCTAACCGTTACTATGACTCCAGAGTTGGGCCTTACCCAGCAGGCAATAATGGTGATCGTTTCTTTGACAGTAGAGGCAGCCATTATACACCAAGCACAACAGGAAATAGGACTTTTGACAATCGGGGTTGGTATTTTTACCCTGGTAATATGACGGACAGAGTACATGATCCAAGGGCAGCGTCATACATGCCAACAAATAATGGAGATAAGTTTTATGATTCCAGAAGTGGTCCTTACACACATGGGTACAGTGCAGAAAGGCATTATGACCCAAGAATGGGACCATACACACAAAACAACATGATGGATAGACACTTTGACAACAGAGAAAGATCTTACACACCAGGTAATATAGCAGATAGACCATATAATTCAAATATAGGACTGCAATCCACTAATATGAATGATAAAAATCCATTGAATGTGACAAATAGCTTAGAGCTGCCTCCACTTGCTGCTAGTTCTACACCAACAGGTGGAAGTATAGAAGGGACAATCAATAGATTGGAATCAACAGCTAACATTGCAGCAGGAAGTCTCACTCAACAAGGGGAGGCAACTCAGGCAAGTCATGGATTTTCAGGAAAACAATTAGAGACAAATATATTGAGCCAGATAAGTGGGGTTCAGGAAGACTCTGACCATCACAGAACATCTTCTGCAGATCTTGTAGTTACTGAAAAAGAGGTGGCACAGACAGAAGTGAAAGTAGAAGAGGAACAAGAAGAAGGAGTAGCAAAGAAATCTTTGGAAGCTCATCACGATGAAAGGCATGAAAGAACATCAGAATCAGCTAAGGAACCAATCATTGAATCTCAGGAAACAAGTGATGCACAAAATAAGAATGACAGAGATGATGAAGATGAAGAGGCAAATGATGAAGTTGATCAGTCTCACTATGCTGATCCAGACTACCATTTAGATTCTGACACAGAACACTCTGAAGGTGTTGAGAATTTCGATTCTGAGGGGTCAAAAGATAGTATAGCCTCTGTGAAGGTGAAAAAAAGGAAATACAAGAAGAGGAGGGTCGAAAGGCCACCAAAACGATATACCAAAAAGAAAAAAGGTAAAAAGGCTTTATCTAAAGAAACACCTGTTGAGGGCAAGAGAAAGCGTGGTCGTCCGAGAAAGAACACAGGCCCCGATAGTAATATAAAGTGTCCTGACTGTGATTTCATAGCAAAGGATAGAAAAAGCTTGTACGCTCATAATCGAAGGGCTCACCTGAATGTTGCAACTAACTGCAATATCTGTGGGAAGTTATATCCCAGTCTTTTTGATATGAAACGACATCGTATATTGATTCATAATCCCCCAAAGTATTGTTGTGATATCTGTGGAAAGCGTTATAAAGTCAATACAAGTTTAAAACTTCATGTAAAATCGCATGAACCAAACTATGTAAAACCTGTATACCCTTGCTCATCCTGTGATAAGTCGTTTGCTAACCCCAGTCTTCTCCGAACACACACTCGACGTAAACATGAACCTGAGTCTGAGTTTGAACGGGAGGTGAGAGAGGTGAAGCACTTCTGTTATATCTGCCATAAAACATTTTCCTCCAAAGCAGCATTACAAGAACACACCAAAATTATCCATATGAGAATCTACGACCACCAGTGTGATCAGTGTGGTAAGGTGTTTGGATATGAGAAATCTCTAGCTACACACAAACTCATCCACTCCTCAGCAAAGAACTTTGTATGCAAAATCTGTGGAAAAGCTTTCAAGCAGAAATCTTGCATGACTATCCACCAAGCTATCCACATGGAGAAGAAGTTCCTTTGTGGACACTGTGGGCGTGGTTTTACTCAGCGGCAATCACTTCGACGCCATGAAATCATACACCGTGGAGAGAAACCATACTCGTGTAAGCTTTGTGGTCAGGCCTTTAATTCTATATCCACCATACGTCGTCATGTCATCCTTGTACACAAGCTTCAAAAAGATTCTAGTGTGTGGCGCGAGGATATAAATGTGGACACAGAACTTCTTGCCAGTATCAAGACGTAACCTAAAATTTAATCTCTGCTTGAGTATATAGCTAACATTATGTGGACAATTTTCATTAGCCTCTGTAGTGCGATATGGGCTACTTTACAAATGTGTACACTAATTTTCCTTTGATGGGAATTAATATACATAGGTGTAAACACAAACACTTGTATATGTCGAGAATGTAAGCCACCAAAGTAACAATATACAGACCACTCTACATCACACCATGATAGAGGTCTGTAGATTTTTACTTCGGTCATCTTCATTTCAATATGTACAGTGCACATCAATTGTCATTACTGTATTTATCCGACAATAAGCCCAATATGCTTTGTATTATGATGAAACATTTATATATTGCTGCTAGTTAATTTGCTAACCAATGTTATTTTTTTTATCTTGTAATAAGTTCACTCCCAACTTTGTGTCATAAGTAATGTTTCGATCCCTTTGGGCTTATTACACGAAAAATACATTACAGGAATTAGATTCAATATTTTAACAAATCTGGTACCTTTTGTATGCCTGATTTAAATTAATTTCATTATTGAATTCAACTAAGTCGTCCTAGTTCTGTGGTAAAAACTCATGCCACCTTTTCCGCATGTACCAGTATTGAAATTAAAGTCTTATCTAGCTCTGTTTTTGAGAAAAGATATTTTGACTACTTTGGTATTTGTGAATTAATTGTTAATTCTATGCAATTAACATATTGTGTACATCTGATTTATTATTTTGTTATTTGTTGTTCTATTTGTTTGTGTTTAGCACTCTTGATTTACAGATAAGAGAAAACTTGTAACCTACATGTAAAACTATAATATTTCAATAATTTTTAAGGTCACATGTTGAATTCTGACCTCGCAATGGCTTGATTATGCATATTATAACAATTTCTTCATCTACATATATTCATCACATAATTGGCCTTTTATCCAGCAAATTCAGCCATGTTATATTTTTGCATGTGTTAATTACCAGTGTAATATACACTGGATTATTTGTCATTGACTGCACCCGTCAGAAATTGATTGAAATTTCATAAGTTGGACTATGAGATTATGTTATGAATTGAAAGTGGTGCAACAAAATGTCTACCTCCCTTTGATTTTTGTCCTTCATATTTTGACCTCAAAACCTGTCAAAATGGAACTTTTCTGATTTTTTTTGTGATAAGAATTATCTTAAATTTGTTGTCATTTAATATTGATTTTTTTATGAAACTTTTCTGAAAGTTTCCAGTTTTGCTCGCCAAGGTACACAATGATAAAACATTTCTATGACTTGTAGTACAAAATCTCATATTTAACATAGGTATCAATTATCCTGCATTCTGCGGGGTAGCTTCAGAAAATCACCAGCTTAAAGTCGTTATCTCCAATTTAGTACATCTCCCAATTGGGGTCAGATTTATGCTGGATTTCTGTAGCCACCCCTGATTTAACTCTGTAAAATCACAAATGTCCAAGTTGTGGTGTGTCTGACACCGATGCAGTATTGACACGGGTGATTAAAGATCTCTATGTATGTAGCATCACAGTTGCTTACCAGTTGGGACAGTGCTGGTTTTTTATTTTAAGGAAGTTTGATGTTTGTAGTTCTTTCATTTGCTGCTGTAATAGCCATAATGCAGTTTCATTTTGTCTTGAGAAACAACTCTGTGGAATAGAGTGTCTTTTGTGGGAATGCATATGAAAATTGATTAAAAAAAAGGATTTTGATATCTTTTGAGAAAACCCCACGATATAACTTCTCAAGCAAATTTACCTTGATATACTCGAGTGTATAATTGTACCCATAATAACTGCCTCTACTAAGTTTTTAGAAGCCAGATCATAAGGCTCTTCAGCAAAACAACACACATATTTTGTATCTAAAATGATAATCCAAGATGAAATTTTGTTTTTAACATTTCCATATCACATTTATTGACATATAATATTAATTTACATAGACCTATAAGATATTGTATGAAGTAAAAAACTTTACAAATGATTGAAATAGGATTCAGATGATTTTTGTCCTTTAATATTAAAAATATTCTGGTTTTTATTGAAACATCAGAACAAACCTTTCTCATTATACAACTGTAATAGATATACATTTCTTTTTATACATCTATAATAATTGTAGGCATAGATTTTGATGTTTTCAGTTATTGTCTGTTTATTGTTGTATAGTTGTACATGTTGCAGTAGCCTCCTAGTTCTTACCAATGTCACCAAGCATCACATTTGTTTCTTTATCACTGGTGACAATATATACTGGTACATGTATTTTAAGATCCTTTCTTGATTCTCAATCACTGTTGTGTCCCCGTAAATCAACAATGTAAGGAATGATGTATATGAAATGCAATAGACCAAAAGAAACCTATCTGTGATTTGACAGTTACTGTTTATTGATGATGAAAGTATGAAAGAAATACAATAGTTGATTTGAAGGTTAAAAATCCATTAATGAGATATTAAGATATAGTATAAATAATTATAAATAAGGGTGTCTTTAGACTTGAATAACCTTGTAGTATCTATACCTCACCCCAGAGAAAGATAACATCAATACATTCTTTGCTACATAAAGGGGTGCTTTTGGTATTAGGTAAAGTGATGACTGCATCAGTATGGATGCTGTAAGGAGATTTTTGAATGGATACAGGTTACACATTTCTAGGTCCTTTTAATCATGTATTCATGCAGGTTTAACATCTGTAAATTAACTTATACAGACTTTTTCCCAAATTCTTTTATATGAAGCCTCCATTTATGGGTCTTGTATAATTAACTGTCCTATACTGTTAAGTATTACAATGTTACTCAATGTACTTACAAGTATGATACTGAACCATTAATTATAATTGGTGTGAATGTTGTTGTCAGCAAGTTGACAAAATGTTTATAAATGTTTGTTAATACTTATATACATTATGAAAATGTAGCTGTACATCTTTATGTATTTTGTACATACATATGTGTATACGCTTTTGATAATCCAAGGTTTGGTTTGAAATAGACTACATAGCGTAACATGCATTTTATATAAAAAGTAGAACTGAGAAATAAAATCAATGAAGAAAACTCATTTCTGTGATTTTTTTTTTTTTTTCGTTTTACATAAAACAATACCATTTCAGCAATTTTGAAGCCAAAAGCACATAGTGAAGACCGTATTGTTAGCTTTTTGCCTTGATATCTTTTGGTTGTTATATATTAATATCTTTGTTAGAGATGGAAGTTCCAGTTAGCCCATTAGTTAAATGCTACAAGTCCAGTAGTAATCAAAGTAATATGGATAGTTAAGCTTTAAGGAAATTAGCACTGTTTTGACAAATGTGACCCATATTTTGACATTGAAGATATGTCACAAAAACCTATATTTTCTCTGTCACAGATTAAGTTAGAATTTTAGTTCAATTTTTTGGCTTATACTTAGCTTTTTGAATGGTGAAAAGATTTGCTCTATTTGGAACATCCACCCTGGAGTAGAAACATAGAGATCCTCACTCCATTTGAATGGATTGCACAAGCCGATATACAAATACGTTATACATGCCTATAGGATAAGCCCTGATGGAGACATGCTCAGTAGGTCATGACTGAACTTCATCCTATTATACAGTTTCGGGGCAGAGTATTACTATTACTTCCACACTGAACTATGCAAAGGGTAGAAATGCATACATGTACTCTCACTTGCATGGATTTGGACTTATCTCCTTGATCGAAGGTTGGATGGAATATTGTAATTCTGATGTATGTACACCATTCCATTCAGTTCGTCAGCATACATGTGGACTATAATGAAAATTCAAGTGGACCAATCAAACCTTTTTTAATGGAAGTGCTTGCTTTGTATTGCTTTGGAGGTTATAAGGTCAAATGTCAAAGCCACGAACTTTAAATGGAAAATTGGTACAAATTACCATTTGCTAATTTGAGATTGCTTTTCAAGTTAAAATGTAATATAGGTCAAGGTTACAAATTGGAAAATTCATTTTGACTCTATAACTTGAGTTTTACTGACTAACTTAAAGAATTATGAGGCTTTGGTATTTATTTGACATTCTTTGAGTTTTTTTGTTGATGACAAAATTATTTTAAAATTGCGGTTCATTCTTCCTTAATTAATATGGACTAGAGTAACCTCCCTTTTAATGGAAATCTCAGGAAAAGAGGAAGAAAACAAACAAAATGGTCGTGAGGTACACACAAAACAGATTGTTTTCGTTATATAGATATGTAGTCACCATTATATAGTGTAGTGTATAGTTTGGGGTCTTTGAATTCAGGAAGAGTACCCTGTAGTACCGTTATGACACTTATTTTCTCTAAAGTTCGAGCAGATGTTGCTAAAGATTTTGTATTGAGATTTCCCGAACATTTTGATTTTACCGGCATGTTGTGTCGTATCGGTGAGGATTTTGGTGTCAGTGTGATAAAAGGATCCGGTTTTTATCGTTTGGAGGGTCAGTGGTTACCGATAGGCCAAATTCATGAAGCATTGACCAAAACACTTGCTATGTATGAGGCGTCGGGAACGATACGAGCTGACAATACCACGGAACGATGTAATGCCAAAAACTCCAGAATTACGGATTCGCCCACTTCACGGATTGAGTTGAATACCAAAGTTGAGTCACAGTTGGAATCAGATGCAAAGACGGACAAGGGACCCGATGTGAATGTTAAGGATATGGACCGTGATGATGATTGTGGCGATGAAAATCACAAATTTAACTCGCTGAAAAACACCATATCTGACATTTACACATCACTTGTCACAGAGGGGGAAGGCATCACCACTAATCATCACAATAATGCCCAAAATGACGTTCAAAAGATGAAAGACATAGTTGTATTGGAAGAAGATAAACATTTACCACTAGTGAAGAAAAATCTTACGTTCATTGAAAGTTGCCGGGTTAATAGTTTCAATGACAAATTCGCACTTTCAACATTAAAAATAAATAATTGCTGTACAACTAGCAATAAATCTTTATCTGGAGAGAAAAACTGTGATAAAATTTCATCTGTGTCTTCAAAACAGAGAGAAATAGTGGAACAACCTGACAAAACGTCAGTTTCAATTAAAAAGTGTTATAAACGAATCAAAATGGATAAATGTGAAGCTGATAGGCACGGAAATTTGGTAGACAATCTTGGATCACAAGAAGAATTGAGATATCAATGTGTAGAATGTAACTTTACCCACAAAAATCATACTGCTGTAAGACAACACTTTTCACGTATGCATCGAGTGGAGCCAACCAAATGTAATGTCTGCCAAAAACTCTTCCCAAGTAAGAGATATGCTAAGCGACACTGTCGTTTGGTACACAGGGACTCACAATACTGCTGTGATGTCTGTGGTAAGACATACAAGTTTCTGCAAACTCTTGAAGGCCATTTGAAATCTCACAGAGTTGGCTATGTTAAACCTGACTTTCCTTGTCATATGTGTGAAAAGATATTCTCTTCTAATCATGTTCTAAAATGTCACATGAAGTCTATACACTTTGGAGAAAATCGTACATATTTGTGTCCAGTGTGTGGCAAATGTTTTACCACGAAACACTCTCTGAATATGCACCAGAATGTCCATTCAGGAAGTCGTCCTTTTACTTGTAAAATTTGTGGAAAATCTTTTACATATGACTCGGCTCTCAGAGATCACAAATTGATTCATTCAGGTAAAAAAAACTTTGAGTGTAAAATTTGCAATAAAGCATTTCAGCAAAGATCTGGATTACAAATGCATGCAAAGATTCATGACGAGAAGAAGGCCTTTGAGTGTAAAGATTGTGGACGTGCTTTTATACAGAAACAGTCTCTGCAGAGACACGAGCGATCACATAAAGGGGAAAAGCCATTCTCCTGTAAAGTGTGTGGCCGATTCTTTGGTGATTCAGGAATCATTCGTCGTCATTTGATAATGGTACATAAAATCAATAAAGATGCCAAATCTTGGAGGGAAGATATTGTTGAGAAGGGTCGAAAAGACCCTGAAGAAGAAAGTCAGAGAATCACCAAGGAGAATGGCATTGGTGCAGATTTAATTGAAAATTTTGAGCAGAGCAAGAAAAAATCACATGAACCAGAAAAACGTAAGACTATTGAACATGTAGACACTGAAACTAATCAATCAAGCATTCCTTGCCCAAAATATCAGGAAGATGGTGGTACAACTGTGCAACCTCAAGGTGACTCGGATAATCTCGAGACATTCACCACATCTCCAACACATGAGTCCCCATCTCCAAACTTACTACAGGGGACAGATGAGCCAAGATATCTCTCTGATCCCCAATCATTTATCACCAATGACTATAGTCGCACTTTGCCTCTCCCCTCACAACTATATCCCCATGGTACTAGTTTGGGAGTAGAGGCAACACCTAACAATGGTTTTCACCATCCACACTACCTAAACCCTCCACTCTCCAGTCACGTGGACACTAGTAGGTACCACTTTCCCATGACTTGCTCTCAGCATGCTATTAGTATGGTGTCAGATGCCCGCTACACAATGACTCAGATGGAACCTCCCAGTCTTAATCTGCCGCAGGTAGACAGTGTTTTGAATAAACATTTACATGATATGGAACCTCCTGAAAACTTGTCCATATCATCCCTCTATGCCTACTACACAAATCTAGCATCACAATATCTCAGTGTTTCCCAATGCCAAGGCTATAGTGGAGAAAATCACATTACCACTGACCAGGAGTAAATGGATCACATTCCAATACTCTGATCAGATATGTCTGAGTAATGAGCTATGTCATCATCCACTCACTCCAGTCATAAGACATGTCATCTTAAGGCATCACACTGATTATCCTCCATTAAACCTACCTTAATATGATAAGTAATAAAATCCTTACAGAATTCAACTTCAAATGTAATAGATTTTGCTGAGCTACATGTAGCCAGTGAGTCATATAAGACAAAAGGCATACAAGTATTTATCAAAACCACCGACAATTGACAGACAACATACATTTATTAATATTATGACTTTTAATAAAATTTGTAAAACTGATATCAACACAGCCCAAGAATTATATCTCGAGTTAAGAGATCAAGTTGTATTGAGGAAGTCACAACACATTAGTATTGACCAAGGACAAAGGGGTCACATTAGATTTGTGTGTCATACCACATCAACACAGCCCAAGAGCTAAAGGATCACGTTTAGTTGCAGAGTTTCACCCAATCAACCAAGTTAATTGAACTAAGGGGTCGCATTGAATTGTGGAGTCGAAAAGGGGTCAAGCCACATCAACACAGTCCATGAACTAAGGGGTCACACGGAATAAAGGGGTCAAGCTACATCAACACAATCCATGAACTAAGGGGTCACACTGAATAAAGGGGTCAAGCCACATCAACACAGTCCATGAACTAAGGGGTCACACTGAATTAAGGGGTCACGCCACATCAACACATTCCATGAACTAAGGGGTCACACTGAATAAAGGGGTCACGCCACATCAGCACAGTCCATGAACTAAAGGGTCACACTGAATTAAGGGGTCACGCCATACCAACATTGTCCATGAACTAAGGGATAGCATTGAAATGAGGCATTGCACCACAACACTGACCAAGAATTAATTAGTTACCTTAAGTTATAGAGTCAACCACATCACACCGGATTCGGAAACAGATGTAACGGTATGTATGTATACATACAAATTGATGATTGTTGATTTTCAATTATGTTTTATAGTAAATCTTACAATATTAAATAATGACTTTAGTTGGTCTTCTTTACTTTCGATGCTCAGCAATGAGGAAAGCTGATTAACTTGTTCTGATACAAACCATCCATCTACCAACATCAATTCCTATCGCGCAAAATGCATATATAGTTTGATAAAAAGAGAAATATCTTCTAACCACTGTGGTAATACAGATTGCAATCTCTTCGAGTAAAATTTAGCTTACAGATTATTGGGAAGAGTTGTCTACCCTTTAGCTGGTGGCATTTGTTCGGTAATTATAAGTTTATAATCAGCGAGAATCGTGCGAGAAATGTTCATATTACTGAAAAAATAAGTATCGGCGTCAGCGTCGGATTGCATTTAATTAAGTGATAAACACCATGGTTCAAGTGAGATTTCGACTGTTTGTATAATGAAAATATGTTTCCAGATTTGTTGAATTTGACAAAAAAAAAAAAAAAAAAAATCCAGAAGGTATTCACCGAGAGAGTTGTCGGAGTGGTTGTTTACCAATAAACCACAGGAATCTGAATGCTTTTAAATAACATTATCCCCGGTAACAATACATTATTTACGTGTTTCAATCTATTTTCGTCTTTGTTCTTTTGTTTTGTAAGAGAGTATATAACCATATACTTCGTTAGTACTTTGATGCACGTTTTATCGGTAAATGCGAGGTGTATTTGGAAATTAATTAACTGAATTACAATGAACAGTGTATATGCTTTTTTGCAGAATTTGGACGGTAAACGGAATAACTCAAACAGGTTGAATTTCACAAGCACGCGATCAAATGAGTTGATCAATGAAATCCTTACATTAGTTTGTTTTAAATTGTGAGGACATTGAAGAGAAAATGTAAAAAGCCCATAATATAACACTTGGGATCTGTCCTGTTTCAGTACACTCTTCCTCCATCCTCGATGTTCCCGGGGTTGCGGGCACTTCTGCACCATCGGAATGGACGAGAACATAATAAATGCCCTTGATATCTGTCCGTTACAATACATTCGTCTTCCATCCTCGATGCTCCCGGGGTTGCGGTCACTTTCCCTCTCGCACTATCGTTATGGATGTGAACATATGGAATGCACGTGAGATCTGACCGTTACAGTACACCCGTCATCCATCCTCAGTACTCTGGGGTTTCAACCGCGTTCCCTCTCTATACCCTTGGGGTTGAAGAAAACGTATTGTACTCCCTCTATTACAGCACTTGGGATCTGTCCGTTTACAATATACTCGTTATCCATCCTCGATACTTGGGAGTTATGATAAATTTCCCCCTGCACCCCCGGAACTTTTCACCGCAACAATTTAGCACAAGCGAAGAAGTAATTTTAACTGATCTAAAGAGTGTTTCTGTAGAAGAAAAACTGACCAAAGACTGACGCGCTCATTTGAAGATTAACATCACCCAACTTCACAGGCAGTACAATAAAGCGTTATGCACCCTTGGAATTCGTTTGATGTATATCAAAGGATCAAACAAGTCTTCTCGTCTTATACACAAGGTGCATCCTTTCCTTGTCTAAGAAAGGACCGGGGGCTGGTCACGAGGACAAACAATAAGAAAGACTTCTAGACAACACTCAAGGAACGAAGCGAAGTTCACGTCTCGCTCTAACTGTTTGTAAAACGTGTCTATCCTGATGGATGATATTAAAGACACTTGAAAATCGTGGCTGTTGTCAATATTTCGACATGAACATGTGTCGATATGTTCTAGTGTCAGTATTTTTTCAATAAGAATCATTTTTAAGTCGGTCGAGTTCAGATTGAACTACCAAATGAATACTATTATTTTTATTTAAAAAAAAAAGTTCTTTTTAGAATACCCGGAATTCTTTCTCACCTATGTACGATTTAGCACCAGTACTACAAGCATATAGCCATACGTGGACATAGTCATAATTTATAGAGGGGTTATCATACCAAGTGATGCCCTGCCGAACCTAAAAAACTAAGTAATTAGGAATACAGTATAATTATACCATGGTAATGTCTACAGCACAGACGCGTCATGTCGTTTCTTAACAAAACTTCATACCCAAGACGTCACCAAATGTTTAGGAAAAAGTAAGTTTAACACGTTTCTCTGAACTATATGTATCACTCTTGCTCAATGTTAACTTTTGTCACACTACAGGTGAATTTTTTTCACGTTTTGCAGATTGCCCAATGCTACAAGGAACTGACAACTCTGTTTCGTAACTTGCATTTTTCTTTGGCATTTCGGAACTCGTTCTAAGAGTAACATTTTAAGTGTTGATTATTGACGTAAACCTTGTACGTTTTCACTCCTTCAATGAAAAGTTATGAAAACAAAACGGCCTTGTGCGGTATGAAGATTTTTCAATGCCCGTTAGTGTGCTTGGTGATTTTGTTGTGGTTAAAATTGTTCTCATTTGAGGACGCGGCATTATTTGGACTGACCTTTATTTACATGACTGTTGTCGTCGATGAAGCCAAAGACGCTTGCTCTTTGACCTTTTTTCCAGAGTTTCAATGTATATCTATTTGTATTTGCCTTCGTTTCAGCGAGTTTGAGTACGCATTTTGTTGGCATATTTTGTTGTTTTGAGGAAGCCACTGACGTGTAGATGTTTACTTTTTACTCACAGATAAAGATGAGCTTATTTAGAATACTGTTTCCACCATAACTTTGAATATACTCAACACCCGACTTTTTATTCCACAGAATATACTTCAGTGGTAAACAAGTGTTCATGTTGGTGCCTGGTGTAGGAAGGATTGTATAATGTTTTCATAACATAGGAGTAGATTATGCTGAAACTAGTCCCTTTTATTTTTTTTTTTTGCAAACTGCATCGTGTTGAGCTATTGACAACTAGTACAACCTTATTTACTGATCATCATGTTTTATTTCTTGAAAGGTTTAAAACAAAATAAACATTGACAATTTCACAGGTAAATAACACTGTTGACAATAAACTCGTGTTTCCTTGTTAAAATCTCCTTTATTTTCCGTAGGAAATTTGAAATACAATTAACTTTAACTATCTTTTCTTTGTTATAAACACAAATGTTAGGTGTAAATCTGATATAACACAATCTTTTGTAAGGAACTTATAAATCTACAAAACTGTCATAACTTTGAGAAGCCAAAGTGCTTTGAATGCGTTCTATATCATGTTAAACAAAACGTAAAACACGATTTTCACGAACAACAAAATAAAAAAAAAAACAAATAAAAAAAAGACAAGTTTTTAATTTAACTTAAAAAATAATAAGGCAACCTTTCTAATTTTCAACTAATTTCATATCAACACAGTAAGCTTGAAAAAAAAACTACTTGTGAAAATAACTTCATTGTGAATCAAACGATAGATTATTTATGAAAAGAAAAACGGATGAAAATGATTATTGTTTCAGGAAACAATTCAAAATAAAGAGTGGAATCGCTTTCTCTGTTCTGCTTTACTAAATGGCAAGAAATTCAAAAACATTGTTTTGATTATTGGTTCGGGTTTAACAAAGAGCATGCTTTGAGAGGAGATCGTTTGAAGTGGGAGACATTATATTTTGAATGGATAAAGTGATTATCACGCAACAGATTCGGTGACCAAGATACATAATTGCATTGTTAGGTTGAACTTTATCTGATTAATGATTAATTACACAACCCTCATGTGAGTCTTAACTGACTTACAACGCCTACGCAAATGGACAGGTACTGATTTACCTACGCAAGTATATTTGTGAATGAATACCTTGAACGAGATAACTACATGATCTAATCCATCTGCCAGGTGACAATAAAATCTGTTTAAATCATAAAAATTACCGTTATGGTTTTCTAATAAAATTAAGCAAATTCAATATAAAACGAGACAACTTGGTACCATACTTAAACAATGTCTATATAAAAAAGTTTTTAAAAAGTCTTAACGCAACCTAAGTTCCATTATAATATACAATAATATACATGTTTAACGTTGTTCCCGTCAGAATATAAAATAAGAACGCTGCATCATATATACCTTGCTTTTTACATCAGTAGAATACATTTAAATACAAACCAATGAAAGGAAATGTATCAGTACACTGGCTACATCAATGAAATACGAACATAAATCAACAGCCAAGAACTGGAACAGTTTAAATAGTGTTCTCAATGTGCAAGCTAGAACGCTTCACATGGGAGACGTTTTAGGGCAACTGAAAATTTGCATCAAATCTGGTTAACCTTCATGCTTTCTGTGAATTTGGTTTACCGTAAAGTACTTTGAGAATTTATTTTATCTAAATACATTTCAAGAACTCGGTTTATCCGAATGTAATTTGGTTTATTTTGATGGATTTTGTTGTTTAATTACGTTTACCACAAATGTATATCTGACCATGAAAGGAAATGGAATTTGATGATGTTGAAATATTTTAACATTGGATAATATTTCATGTTTGCTCACATTGTTTACAGTTTATAGTCTTCTCTGTGTACGTTTCAATTTTCAATATTTGTAAACATCCTCAATCAATTGTTTATGTTTTGAATACTATTTGTATTGTTTCTATATTCTAACAATAATCAACACATAAGTGTAGCATAATTGTAGCTGTATGATCCTACTTTGTGTTTGATTTTAATTTATGCATTTTTGATATTATTTACATTTTCACTATCGTACATTTTATATTTATGTTAAGAATGTAATAATAAAAATTTTACGCGTTGATTTTTCGGTATGTGACCTGTCGTGTATGCTGTGTTGACAAAGTTAAAATGTGACTGTGTTAGACATGATTAGAGATCAGGATGTCAACATTAATTGCTATATAAAAATTCCGTATGAAAGATGTTTTGCATATTGTGTATATGATACATTGAAGATAAACAACAACAATTGTACTGATATGCACTAAAGATGTTCTCAACACTGAGAAAATATTAGTCTACATACAACATTGAAGGTCAACATACCTAAAGGACTGAAATTGTTGATAAACAACATCAGATCTTGTAAATATATTACACCAATTAAACAAAAGATCGATTAATTCTGAAATACAGTTGTGGTTTACTTTAATATTGAATAATACATGCAGGTCAATACCCTGTTCCATTAAACGTTAGTTTTCATAGCCTTAAAACATTCTTTGGATTTTTATAATAATGCATTTGTTGTAATATCATATCCTTCGTTGTCAATTGTCGTACCCTTTTAAGTCTTTAACCGCCGCCACGAACGAAATGAAATAGTAAGAAACCTAAGATTTTAGAAAGTTTTGTTCAAATTTATCCATACACATTATAAAAACTGATACAGTTTTGATTGTCATTTTCTACAAATACTGTTTCATGGTTATCATGAAAGACATTTTTCTTTTAATGATCGCATATTTCATCGAAGCATTTTCATTTAAACACAATACGAATATTTGGTAAAGGAATATGAGGACAAAAACCTCCAATAACATGACATGTTTGCTACACTAAATAAAAACACAACTAAAACGATTAAGTATTTGTTCTCATACACCTGGAATAAAACAATAATTCTATATCAATCACAGGTTCACTATGTTGTGCTTTCGTAGTGACATTATAAGCTTTAGCTTTGTGACTACACAACATTCTGTGAATGTTCTTGTGCTATACTACACATATTCATGTTGCTATTATATTACATGAAATGGCAATCGTGTCACTCCACTGAACACATTTAACTCCCTTACCGGCGCTTGGTATGCCCCTCATCAGGTACTCGCCTTCTGGTAAGGTTTTAAATCACAAATGACAATTGACGCAGACGGTGTGTAGAGGACATTTCATCCAAAACCACTGATAGTAAAGAAACAAAGGAGCGCAAATACGTTTATTTAAATGAAATATTTAAATGTGATGTTATAGTCTTATTTTATACAGATATTGCCAAACGAACGATTTCAAAATTATAAACTACAACAAATAACGATATTCGAATGTCCATATTTTTTTAACCATTTCTGGAAAAGGGGAAAATTGGTGAATTGTTCTCATTAACACCGTCTTTTGTAACAGCTCCAGGATGTTCTCTAGCAGCTGCGTTTAACGTATTGGGCTGGAATGTCCACTCTACCATAGTCATGGCTACATCCACGGTGTATGTGGATGATAAATTCAATTAGTCGTTTTTAAGTTTATATTAAGTATACCAATTACAGCTACACTGGTTATCAGCCTGTGGCTCGTAACCAGTGCTGAAATATTTCAAAATTGATTTAACGTTGAATCGAGAACTAAGTCGAGATTTGTTATCTACATATAAAGAATAACGACCCCGTGTTGACAGCGTGGGGCCAGTGTGTTGCTTCTATAGCTTGTTTCCTGTTTTATCAAAATTTACACTTCCACTACTAGAGGCATATGTAGGCAGGAGATTGTCCCTTGGCGAGGAGGTTTCTTTGATATTCAGGTGATTGGTAATACATTTTATTTTACTTAGGTCTTCCCCGTCACGTATCTGATTTTCCTTCAGCTGTGGTGTTGTGCACGCAATGAATCTCTGGAAACAAAAGCAAACTCTTGCATTATGTTGTATAATATATATGTATTGCCATATATGTCTTTGGGCTCTTAGTTGAAATTTGTGTTTCAGTGTATGCTATTTTATCGCAATTAAAGTCGTAATATTTACAGGCTGTTACTATGGAGTTTGATATTTAACAAATACATTTGGAATAAGAGTGCAGGAAAAAACCTACTGGTTAATGGAAACGGATTTTGTTCCATATTACACGTATCCTACCTGTTGTATCGTGCCATCAGCATCATAAAGACGCTTAACCATAATGATTGGAATCCAGACGACAGATATCATAGCAAGCATCCAACCGATGCCGATTGCCCATGATGGATAGTTGTATGTTATGTGCTTCCTCTTATAGTCTAATTCAGAGTAACTGACGGCTCCCATGATGAAGATGCTCTGTCATAACCAGAAAAAAAAATTGTTTCACATTACGAACTGAGTAGAGATATAATCATCGAACTGAATATGGAAGACTAACACATTTAAAACATAGTTACTAAGTCTTAGTGGTCCCAGAAAGAAAGATATTTGTTTCAAAATTTTCAAACTTTTCTGCTAATAATAATCAAAATTTGAAACCAACATCACCACCAAACAACTTTAATGTATGACAAACGTGACTTTTCTTTTTTCCCCGACTATATTTTCTTTGCTTGATTAAACACGCCAAAATTCTTTCATTCAAAGTGATCATATATAAATTGAACTTTCACCTAGAAAAATTAGATGTTTTTGGATAATAAGACTCCGTTATAGATATCAAGTTCTCACGGACGGAAATAATATGGACAATTTTTTCTGCTAATGCTAATTCCAGTCTTCATGACATATTGTAAATACTGTTTATACCTATCTATGTCCTTTGGTTATCTATTTTTGACTTTGAACTTCTGTTTTTTGTTGTTCTTTTACTGAGTTTTTCTCGGTTAAATACTCTTCGACAATAGTTAGTTTGAATCACTGTTTTATTTCACTTTGGTATTCTTTTGTTATTCCACTAAACTTACCATTGTAAATGCAGGTGTGATGAACATCCAGACAACTTTGGTCCATGATGGTAATCCGAACCCAAACATCATCTTTATGTTGTCATAGAATCGATCAATGCCTGTTAAATACAATAAAAAAAGATGCTTATAAAAGCAAACACGTCCTCCGACAATGGTATCATATTATATCTACACACAAGTACGAATATTTCCTATATTTCTGCTTCTATCAAGGTCTACTTAAATAGTGTTATATACTTACCCCGTGCGAAGAGATTTGGTCTAAATGAAATAATAACATTTTAGTTATTTATCATGCAATATCTGGTCCCCAATATCGACCAATAACGAGAGAAATCTACATGCACGTGAATTATAAAAAAGCACTGATCATCGTTTAAAAACATTTGTAAAAACGCGAAATATCCTTTGTAGTGATAATATATATATATTGTACAGTAGCTAAATGTAGTACTTATTACAAATGTGTTTCCCTATTTATCCGATACAAAACTAATTCAAAACCGTAAGAAGCATGATGTTGCATAACATGAAGAAACGAGTAGTTCAGTACAAACTTTATTGTAATTGTGTTCATAAAAAAATGCACACATAAACATATAATATGCACACAGAGATATGTATAAAGTCATGTTAGGTTTTCAAATTTCTCCCAAACACACAAAAAAAAAATAAAATAAAATGAAAAATAGGAACGTAGTTTACTGATTACATGAAATTGCAATTGAATGATACCATACGTTATAATTACATATTTACAGAAATCATTAGATTTATTAGTAAATGAATAATGATGATAATCCATCAAGCCAACGACGTCATAAATTTAAATAATGTCAAGGTGATATTTAGCAAGTGCGAGTTAACATTAGTTGGGTGGATAAAACAGCTTTTCACCAGTTCCCTTAGGGGTAACATGTTCAATGCATGGGTTACCCCCGCTGAATCAAAGTGGTGCGGCCATTCAGTCAACATTACTGAAGTTCGAACATACTTAACAATAGCAACAACACAGACAGCACTGGCCTGTACCGAGTGGCGTTATTACCGATGGATATTATAGGGAGAATCTAAACATCCATTTAAACGTTTCACTGATTATACACCGCGTGTATTTAAGAAAAAAAAACCTTTTTATCCTGAGTAATTACACCTCGTCAATTATCTGTGCAATAACCAGTACAAAAATAGCATAGTTAATTAGAAAGAAATGTCAATTTTATTACAAAGAAAGTTTCATCCACTGTAAAACGTCTCGTTCAATATAAATTTAATACGCATTAAGTCCAGTAGCAGTAGCAGTTGTATGATTAAGGGAGTATTAAGTGTAGACTGTAATAGGAGTTTAGAATTATCAGACAATATGTGAATCGGCTTTACAAACTCTGGAGGCGAAAATCCAAAGTATTAGGCACTTCATGACAGCGTGTAAATGATAATAAAAAAATCAATATTGTGCCAATCAACACTGTGATATAATTAGGTAAAAGAGTCCTAATTGTAGTTAGTAAAGCAATGGCTACCCATGTTCGTCGTTAGTACATCAAATTCTGCAGAAATTGGGTTCTTTGGAACATTCTTGGCTCAATTGTTTCCGTGTTAATACTAACCCTGAGAGGCTCACTTGTCTATAGGCGAAATGGGTAAACAAAGAGGAACCTAACAGGCACGACGGCAGGCGAAATGGGGAATTGTTTTGGGGCCAAAAATAGATGGTGCCGTCATTGTTTGGGAGATCCATGTGGTTAATGCTTTGTTGTCATCAATACAACAGAACAAAAGCTGATATTAGTATTTTGACTTAAGATGGTATTTCTTAACACTCATTGAATTTTCAAAGAATTCAAATATTGCTTTTGGAAAGCTGTTTTTGAATAGTAAGAATGTTGCTTTATTTCTTTGGCATGCCACACACATTGTTTTAACCAAATGAATCTCCTAGGGGTACAACATACCGTAGATGTAAGCTACCACGATGCACTCGAAGAAGGCAACAACGAGAACAATTCGGCTCGCAGAGTAGTAGTCGAATAACTGAAATACATACATTCCGCCCTGTGGGACGGAGTCATCCTTTAGTTAAACACAACATAAATATTTCATGTATCTTTATCTTTTATTCTATGTTCGCCTAATAGTCCGCTAGCATTTCCGCACAGAGCAGATTAGTATTTAACGATATTGTGTACCACTGCGCCAATACGCCATTATCTATAGCGTACCAGACTCCCCATATTGCGCCTATCGCGTATAAGTAGAATTCCCATCCCTAGTATTTCCCTATTCAAAAACTGGTAAATCCCTTCCCCATCCCCCTATGCTACACTATGTATGCACCATAAGTAATAATGTCTAACAAAAGCACTATAACCCTTGAGATAATGATTGAGTACATGCAAACAAAGTACGTCGTTTTCTTACCTCTGTCACCATGGACAAGCCGATGAAGAAACATATAACACAAACAATGGCAATAAATATTTCTCTCCTCCGACCGACCCTTAGATGTTGTGGATAACCGTCCACTACGGCGGTCACAAAACCTTCCACACCTACAAACTGTAAACAGAATCATGATGAAATTAGTGAGATTTCAAAGAAATTTCAAAGATAACAAATCATATTCTGGATTTGGTCCATATATCTAATTCAGATATTGCTCCATTTTCCCATTTAGTTTTCGTTAAAGCATATCATAACAATCTTAGGATGGACAAGGTTTGGTTAAAATGTTTAATTTCGAAAACGCAGCTTTAATTTTCTTTCCACATTTACCGAGTGGATTCACAAAGACGTTGTTATCTTCCCCAGGCTCATAAGACATATTAAGGCCACATTAAGAATAAAAGGGAAATGACTTATTGACATTGTCATTTAATATTTACATACCTGACTATCTAGACCCAACAACAGTACCATTGCAAAGAAAAGAACAGCCCAAAGGGGCGCGACTGGCATCTGTCTGACTGCCTCCGGGTATGCGATGAACGCCAATCCAGGTCCTAAATAATAATTAAAAAACACATGAATTTATGTACTGTACATATGTGCTAAAAAACCCAATTTTATTTTATTTTCATTCTTAGCAGCTTGTTCATGGCTTACTAGCAATGACTTGCACGGTTCCGAATGTTTCGTAATGAGATTAAAATAAAAATGTAGACGGTGATTGTGCTTTTATTAAATTATCGTTGCTATTCTACTGGAATGAGAAGATACATAAGGTATACACAAAACACTGCTCAAATCCTTTCTGAAGCTTGAATGACATAAAACGCTTCTTCACTATTCAAAACCTATGGCACTGTATGGTGTATGTAAAACAAATTTGAAATATGTTTTGTTATGAGCACAGTTATCGAAAAAGTAACCGTTCTTATACTTAATTCTGCCGAATTATATTTTCGACCATATCATAATAATACACAAAATAGTATTGTGTATGTTTTTACTGCCAGAGAGTTGTCTCTCTTGAATTGGAGATATCTTGCTCACCGGATTCGGCAACCTTATCCACAGTCGTGCCTTGCTGTTTAGCCATGAAACCCAAGACGGAAAATATAACAAATCCCGCCAACACGCTTGTGAAGCTGTTGACTGCAGCAAAGCCAATGCTGTCCCTGCAAAATACACACATTTTCCTCATGATCTTATGCTATTCCTCAATAGGTCAGAAAAAATTTATGAAGGTGTGATGCAAAAAACCAAATGCATGTAATTTTTTACCTAAAAGAATTGTGATGGAATCTGTTGTAACTTCCCAAGGCTGTTAGAGTTCCCAAACTGATGGAGTAGCTGAAGAATATTTGAGTTCCTGCGTCCACCCACACCTGTAGCAAAATGAAATTAGAAAAAAAATGTACGGTAATTCATCACAGAGAACAAAATTTCATCACATTTTCCATATTTCATTGCATATTTCAATTTTTCGCATTATTATTAATTGCTGCGTTTAGCGATTTCAAAGGATGTTGATTTTCAACTAACATCAGTTTCTACATTTAGTTTAAGGGGGATATACCCTTGTGGTTGTATGTGATCTAGTACTGTATAGAGTGACTGAAGGTTGAATGGTAGAAAATTAATGTAATGTTTATAAAGTTTTGGAATGTGACGATTCACTAACATATACAATTCGCAGAGGCAATCAAGTCTCAGAGAGTGGTTAGTGAAAGGCATGAAAAATAAATACCAGATGACTGGACATGCACTTGCGATTTATGAGAAACTGAGCTTAACGCAAAACATTCAGCTTCTCATATCTCAGAGATCCTCCACCGCAAAATGTGGTAGGTATTTTATAAGTGACAGATGCACTGGGATGTACACTCTGTGACCCAAGTATATACAAAGTTTGGTTTCAGTTAGATTTTGTGATGCAATAATGAAATGTTAAATATGCCACCGCCGTCGAAAAAGTAACAGCTGTCTATCTTTCAGGAGACAAAAATCATTCATACACGGCAATAAATTACTTAGATGAATAGAGGTCTTTCATATAAATATTAATGCACATCGTAGATTCAGAAGCCTTTTCAAGTAATGTCTATATACATATATATACATACATGTCTTATTTACATGTATATGTATGTCTATACATTGTATATTTATATGACTTATTTATATTTACGTTTATACAGATGTCTGTACAATGTATATTTATATATCTTATTTAAATTTACGTTTATACAGATGTCTGTACAATGTATATTTATATATCTTATTTAAATTTACGTTTATACAGATGTCTGTACAATGTATATTTATATATCTTATTTAAATTTACATTTATACAGATGTCTGTACAATGTATATTTATATGACTTATTTATAATTACGTTTATACAGATTTTTTGTACATTTTAGATGTGTATGCTTTATTGAAATGTATATTTACACATGCCTGTATACTGCGGATTTTCATGTCTTATTTACATGTATACATATGTCTATATATTCTTTATTTATGTGCAATCTTTAGATATAAATTTATACATATGGCTGCACATAGCAGATTTTTTTTTACATGATAGATATGATTATACCTAGTATATTTATATTACATCAATTATACTTACATTTTTAATTATGTCTGTACGTCGTATTTTTATTTGCCTTATTTATATTTAAATTTATACAGATGTCTGTACGTTGTAAGTCACTAGAATGATTATTATTCATGAACTGTAAAGTCAGTAAGAGACATTTGGCGAGATAAGAGTTTTTGTACGTTTGGTTTTAGAAATTTTCAGGGATGGTCTATATGTTGTCATGATGACCTTGTTTAAACACAAGACGGCATGAAACCAAATTTGTAAATGTGGTGAAGTCCGGATGACGTTCTTAGTCTGAACTGAAATATGTTCAAAGCTAACACCCGAGTTTCATATATGTAACGGCGACACTGTTTTTGACCTCATAATTTGAGAAGTGTGAACTTATATAACTCATGTGGGTTGAAAATCGAACCAGAGATGGGATTCACGGCACTTCGCCGTGATGGTAAGATTATGAATATACCCTTACATTGAATCGGTGTGAGTCAACATTCTTTATCCGTTATCCGCCATGTTTCATCCTAATAACTTCTACACTAGCATTGCGGGGGCTACCGAAGAGCTGTATCCGTTATATTTAGCATAAACACTATACTGCGATTGATGGGGATCAGTGCAGCCTGACATCAGCTTTTGTTACCATCGCATCTTAACCGCAATTGATTGGTTTCCATACCAACGACTCGTATAGACGACAACCCAAATCGGCGCGCCCCATCAAATTTGTTTTTCCTAATCTCAAATAATCTTGAATCGCGTTCGCGCTGAGTTTATGGAAAATCGATACATTTCAGACAGATTCTGACCCGACTAACGCCTTTTTGAGACCATTGTACTCATACACTGATGAACGTTGTCACTACGGAAATAAAATGGCTGAGTCCCCTTGAGACTACGAACCTAACATTAATGTGCAACATCGCATTCAGACGAGGTATGAAAACACCAGATACATCAGAATCAATCCAATGAATGCACTTGAACAATATATCACACAATTGTCTCGTGGCCATGATTTCCTGATTAAACCATGTTCATGCATTACCAATGTAATAAAGTTATTCTGACTGGACTTTTTAAAAATAAGAATTTTAACGGGCTTCGTCCGCAGTCCAATGTTTTTTTTCATTTCGCAACAGGCTTTTAACATCGTAACATGCACATATAACACATTGTAAAATGATAGCATAAGTTTTCTTGCTACACAACAAAGATCAGAAAGATCGACGTTAATAATTGAAAGGTTGAGTATCCAAAAGAAGCGATACACAAACTGGGATTTTTTTTAGAGAAACTGCCAACAAATGAGCACCGAAGGCACTGAAAAAGCAGACAGGACAGGAAGTTATCATATCCTATCTCCTCAATGTCCCTTCATCAGAAGGCAAAGGAGAATATTCCTGATTCTCCTAAACATTCTAGAATCCCCTTATACTTTCAAGGAATATTCAAGATAATAATTAAGAGAAAATCGTACACCGCAATCCAACACAAAACATTTATGCTATCTAATTTGTAGAAATTCAGCTAGATCCAGCATGATCCCGACCCTGATTGCGTCATAACACGATAGCATTTACGCAATGCACTGTAAACAAATATCATGACTTGTTGGATCTCAATCAGTATGATTATATAGCTACATGTAATGTTTCATGAATTTCCGTATCTATTTGCTGCACAGATTCAAACTTCAGATATTGTTTTTCCTTGTATTGACGCAGTACTTCTAGCTCTATTTTGGTGGTCGAAATTTGAATTGACCAGGGTATTTAAATCAAGTTTGTTTGAACGAACTGAGTTGACCACAGGAAAGATTTTTCGATGTTGACAACACATCGAACAATCATAATAAAGAGTTCTTAAAACGTACAGAACAGCTAGAAATTTACAGTTTGTGGGCATATCCCTTTAGCAGACGATGTAAGGCAAACCTTATTCTAGAATACTCAGACAACTAGTCGCCTCTTACGACATGCAGTGAAGTACAGACATGCTCTTTTTCTACTCAAGAACGGATTTTATTTATCAAGACTCTTTCATGTAGTTAAAGAAAAGGAATTAATGAATGACTATAACGCCATTTTCTTTTATTACAAAAATGAGCATCAGTGAAACTAATAAATGCTCCCCAAAAACAACTTTTAAAGGCAATAATTCCCTAAGGGGTTTTCGGACACTGAATTTGGTACACTGCGCATCATTTTAGTATGTTCCATATCCAAACTTAAATGAAAAGGTTTGCTCCGAACACCAACATTCAACAAAGGACAATAACTCTGTAAACTAAGGGGTTGATGCTAACCCTTGCTTAGTTTACTTCAATGCAAATACCGGTAATAACACTGACCTCCGAGAAGGGGTAAAGCCGAGCTTCTTTAATCGATCTTTGATACACGTTTTTTCATGGCTAAATTCCATGGATTTGAAACAACAGATTTCAATACCGTAAACTGACACAACAAGATTGACAAAAAAGATAGCAAGAATAAAATACTGCAGTATATCATGAACCAAAGCTTGAAGGTGAATAAAATACCACAGTGGGATTGGCGCCATCATTGAATGATCTTTATTGCTTTATGCAAACTGATCATTTCTCTACCTTTTCCTTGTTACTCTCTTCTTCTTAATAATTTGAAAACATAGGAACATTATAGATAAAATATAAGAAAAATAGTTAAAACGAATTTTCTGAGAAATAGTGACAACAAACATTAACTATCAAACTCCATTAGGGTCTGGAGTCAGCCATTTTTTGTTTTCTTGAGAAGACACACGATTGAATATGTACAAAATCAAGAAATATCGTTCATGTGGTTCTCCTGAAACAGCGATAACAAACGTCAGCTATCAAAGCCACTTTGGTCGTCTGTCTGTCATTTTTCACTGATCAGTAGCAACATTAAATGGGTAAAACGTCGGACCATAGGGAACATACACACAAGTTTGACAAATATATCTTCTGTACTTCTCTAGAAATAACAATAACGATAATTTCAAAGTTTAACATACAAGGTGGCCGTCTGTCGACCATTTAGTTTCACATGTCAGACTCAAAATTAAACAGGCAAACTAGGGACTGAGAAATCTATAAATTAAGTTCGAGAAATATCCCTCTAGTATTCCACAAAAAAAAAAATCGATAACGAATATCAGTTGTCAAATAATTTTTTCATTCATAGTCGCAAAATTAAATTGGCACAACTAGGGACCATCAGAAATATATATATCGATTTTGAGAACTGATTGTCAAGTAGTTCTCAAACAATCAGCAATTGTCATATTCCGACATGGTTTCTTGTTGACTCGTGTCTTTCAGTGATTTGTTGAAACATTAAATGGGCACAACTAAGGACCACGGGGAACATACGCAGGGAGTTTGAGAAACATACCTGCGGCATTTTGCTTAAGAAATAGCGATAACAATGTTCAAATTTCTAATTCAAGATGGTCGCCTGTTAGTCATTTGTTCACTGATCAGTCTCAAAATTAGACGGGAATAACTACTCATCGGACTCAAAATTGAATGGACACAAGGAACAGAGAGAAACATACACAATATGCCTGAAAAATATTCCTTCACCAATAACAAGATGGTCACCTGTCAGCCATTATGTCACCTGTCAGTCATTATGTTTAAATTAAATGGGTACAACTGAGAGAGAAACTAGTGTTTGTTTCAATACGGGCAAGAGCATTTCTCAAACTAAGCAAATCTGCCTTATTAAGGGGACATTTATGAACGGTTTCAAACACATGACCTTTGTAACCATGAGTGTGGAACTAGAAAATTTGTCTAAAAAATTTTTGAAGCACATGGTATCACCAAACTACTTTGAACATTCCACCCACCGATTACCCTGTTCACGATATGGGGAGAAGCCATTGCTGTTTGATCTGATCTCATCAAGCTTCTGGATAAATTAGTTGAGCAAATAATCAAATCTAGCTAACTTTAATATGGTTCAACGTCTTTAATGTAATTGCTACCTAATGCTAGTAAACGTTGCGCTAGGTATTAAGATTCTAAGGTTACGTGAGGCAAGTGTTTTTAGTGGTATAACAAATTACCCCATGTCAACTTAATACAGGTTTAAGGTCATTGTCTTTGGCAAACTTTTTTCATGCGTTGCCTCTAGAGCGCTATTACAAAAGATAATGTACCTAAGCAAATCGACTTTTGGGGAGTCGTTCAAAGAAACATCAGACGAATGGACTTTGCGCAATGGCGCCTTCAGGCGTCCATATATATAGATAATTCAAATTCTAATTAAAGGACAGAAAAAAACTTTCCTGTGTCCATCTTCCCTGAACTGAACAAAGCTAAAATTTTATTGGCATTCGCATGCCCGATAGTGAAATTATTTGGCATACCTGCGGGTCCTGGAGCCTCTCCCAGTCAGGGATCAGGTAGTAACGTATTCCGTCAATAGCTCCATCCAGTGTGACACCACGAATAAGCAAGACGAACATGAGCACGTAGGGGCTGGTGGCCGTGAAGTACATCACCTGCACGGGAACGGGAATGGATAGGTAAGTATACAACCAAGTACCAATCATACAGGGAGAATGCATAACGCTGAACGTGAGCTGGGCAGACCAAATGCAGACTACAAATGAGTGCAGGTTCACTTACTCATAAACATTTACATTTATAAATCTGGACGATGAATCAAATGATTCCTATGTTTCAGCTTAACTGTTTTATTTTTAACATCTGAAATTTATAGCGAAAGGCAACTACAATTTGCAGTCAAGATCCCACGTTGAGCTGTGCAAAGAAAGTGGTTAGGACGGGATCCTCGGGGCTTTATTTAGAAGATATCCTTTAAGCGTTGATAGGACCTGTTGGATGAGTAACCCTCCTTGGACTGATCGAGTGCTAAATAGGATTTTTTTTCTTTTCTTTTTTAAATCTAAATTTTAAAATATGAGGCTGGGTTGCTTCCCTCTAATTCAGGGTCGTATGCCTCAGCCCGAAATATCACCTTTCCGGATGATTTAATGCCTTTCCATATGCAGAAATAGATGATGATCCATGCTAGTAAGAGGCACAGGGCGAGGTCCCACTTGATGTTGCCAGGGTGGTCCACCCCGTCGGAGAGCTGCAGGACTTTCCGCCTGTAGAAAGTTTAGGCGATAGAGTATTGGAACCATTTCACGTCGCAAAGAGAAACTCATGCGATGTGATCCTGGCTATTGCATATCATGAATCAAACAACGTGTGCCACGAGGTGTTAGGTCGTCCAATCATTGACACTTACCACTTTCTAGTCAATCAGTTTTGCCAGAATGAGACTGTGCAAACCGGAAATGACGTGGCAGAATAGTTTTTTAAGCCTTAGTTGGTAATATTTGTTACTTGAAGGTGTATAAATACCATTATATAAAATCTGTATTCTATTTTTCATTAAATTTTGAAAACCTGTGGTTAATGCTGCTCAAAATTAAGTTTCAATCCTTACTGGCGCCGACATGAAGCAGGTGCAATGGAGAAACAAAGGATATGGGTCTGGAAAGTCAACAAGCTTTCCACTTACCATTTCTAATATTCAATTTCCCACAAGAGAAATTCCAAAGAATTCTAGCATGCATAAAACTAGACAGTCTGATAACCGTCAATCGATAGCCCGTCTTGACTAAAAGCATACAGAAGATGTGCGGAGGAGACCAGTGTGCTAACCACAATCTCGCAAGGCAGGCTATTCACAGTAAAGTAAAACGCAACAGAAATTATTTATGGGTGTTTTACAAGTTTTCCAGCTACAATCTAATGCTTACAACTTTCACCAAATATACACATTTGGCAACAGTATCATTTTTTAGCACAACGTCTTAAGATGTGGCTTTCAAACTCATCTCCTTCTGTATCGGGGACAAGAACTAGACTAGTAAGCTTGGAACGTATCAAGATTGTTGCATGGAAAAAGAGAGAAAATGCGAATAATTAATTCGATCGATTACAAAAATTTGTTTGAAAGAACAGCAATCAGGAGGATGCATTATGTTATTACAACATTCCAGTAGAATGATTTGATTTAATTTGGGGTATTAAAAACTCAGGGCCATCTGAAGTTTAACTCAAAAACACTTGTATTAAAACGTCATGCACATTACATTTGTTACATATAAGCTTTATGCATTTTTGTTGAAACGTCTGAATACTTTTTGTTTTCAATAAATAATTTGTCAAATATAGTTTATATAGATTCGAATGAAAAACATAAATAACGTTTCATTCCTTCGTTTTTCGTTTCACCCTTCAGGAAAAACGATGAAGAAAGGGATTGGTTGTTTATAAGCTATAATTATTGTGTCTATCAGACAAAAACTGCCGCGGACTGCACTGTATGGTTTCTGTGTGATGGAAATTTTCCCTAATGTGGTTATTTTCCTTGACAACGTAGCTATGGCTACGGCTTCACCGTCATGGTGAGTTCTATTTTAGGAGGCAGATGTTCACAGTTTCGCATACACCACTAGCCAAAGAGACATTAATTATTCAACGAGTCAACGGCGAGTGATGGTCATTCCTTTTATGTAAACATTACTCGCAAATTATTTTCACCAAAACATTTTGTTTACAAGGTATTGCATAATCAAAAATATATTAGTGTGTAAATGTTTTGTGCAATCAACCATCAGTTTTTACTGAAATCCACTTTCCTTACTTATTGCTAGTAACACATAATGCTATCGTCTTAGTAATGCCACAGAATTGGAACTGCAATGTGCATATATCAACATATAACTTCTATAAGCTATACCAGGGTCGGCGCCAGGGCAGGAGAGACACTTGCATAGTACTATATACAAGATAACTATAAATGTGTGATACATATCAAATAGCACTACGTCATTTCCATATAAATAACTTTAACATGAAGTCATACAATACAAAGCAATGCATGTTTCGTCTAGATGTTTACAGAAAAACCTGAAATACGCAATATTATTATTTAATCCAATTTTCATGCACCTATGGGTAAAGGACTTTATGATGTTGCGGGTACATTTGTGAGGATTTAAATCATTTCATGACTTTCCATAAATTGCTTTGTATAAAAGGTTTCTTCGACATAACCATATACTTACAGGTTTTAAGTATACATTTACTGTCACCCTCATGTGTATTATGTCTTTTTATGAAATCATTTATTTAAACATAAAATCTTTTTGAAATTTCAGTTAAACGACTATATAATTGGTTATGTCTCAGAAAGTGAATAAGTGGTGGAAATTATCAAAATGCACACACATGAATAAGAAATGTTTAGATCTCATTGATTCAGCGACAACTTCATGGGTGGAAACGACCTGGTGAAAAGAAACAGAATGATCGTTAGCAGGTGCGAAATTCGTGGACAGCTTGTATCTGCCTGGACTATTCAACTGGGAATAAAACGTGGATAAAGATAGAACGATATCAAAGTACATTCAGATAATTATCATTGTTAATTTTTTCGTTATCCATCAATTCAATTTCAATTTATTTATCTTTGAGATTAAAGTCAACGTTTAATCACGTGGCACTGAATGAGTTATTAGTATGTGAGCTTATGATATGTCCTCAGAAATTCCTGGATAGATAACATAATATTTATTGGGCTTACTTCAGTTAAAGAATAAAACACTTCATATGCTCACACATTAATATTCATTGGCATTTAGCTGACAAAATTCCGCTTCAAAAATCTTCCTCAGAGGATTATTCAGCAGAATACAGAAAATATTCCAATCAAGCCAGTGATCCTAGTTCGTATGATAACAACGAGCTTACCAGAGAACAGGAAAATGATCGATTTTGCACTTTTTTATCGTTACTGATCTAACTATCATTGTGATTTGTCAGCTAAATGCATTTATACGATTACACATTAGTTACCTCCAGCTTAAGATGAACTTCACATGAATGTTGAGTAATCGAACACATCTCCAAAATGAAAACAGTTTTGAGTTTTGCATAACACTTTTGTAAGCTTTTATAAATCTAACCATTATTATGATGCTTCCTGCTTCCTTATTTCTAGGAAACATGTCTTCAAAATCAAAACATACAATCTTCACTGTGACAATGCTTAACTCAAATATATTTCCATTAAGGATAGGTGTAGGCATATTTAGTCGACCAATGTTGAGCAGCATTAACCAACAGGTAATGACGTAACACACAATTGCATGCTTAAAATTGAAAGAGAAATCACAGGCATTGAATCATAGTCTGTCTACAGCTTATCCACTTTAAACTCATCACACTCTATCTCATTTCTATCAGTTCAACTAATTCTTAATCCCATAAAATTTCTAGAAAAAAGGGAAAGGGGAATAGGGCCGGCTAATGATTCTTTTTTGTATTGATTTGATTTTTCCCAAATGTCTACGATATAGCTCTTCTTTATCAAACGCATTAAGATTTGCGTTGGATTTCTTGCAAATGTTGAAGGATGGGCTAATTTCGGCTGATGATACAAGGAAAGGTCTGTTAGGGCGGGCATGTTTGCTGATAGGTGTCTATATAATGGAAGGCTCTAAGTTACCGTACAATGTCGCGGGCAAGTCGTTGAAGGGTTTGGGAGGGCGTTGTCCGGAGAGGGAAAACCTGTAACAAATCTTCAAAAAAAGCATACATGATGTACAGTTAACGTCGCCGGAAGAACATCTCCGTCACTTAAGGATGAAAACCCTACTTACTCCCAAAACTCTGTAACGGGGTCGCACGCTGGTGGTTTGGCAGTCTCCATGGTAGTATTGTCCGTTAGATAAGAGACGTTGTCGACCAGTCTGGTCACAAATGTGGCGACGGTGGTGGTTATGCCGGTCAGATTGACTGTAGAGGAGTTAGTGGGCTGTTCAGAGTACATTTGTCTGCATTCAGGGGAATTCCATTCGTTATCGCCATGTGACCACGGAAGGACAGCCGTAAACGATGAGAAAAGGTAGTACAAAGCCCAAGTTAGGATGATGTTGTACTCGCAGTTCAGCAAAAAAACGATAATGGCGCATGCGTACCCAATACCTGCATGGACAAACAAATATGTTAATCAGGATACCAAAAATGACACCTAATAAACTGTATTCCGGTATAGTCGGACTACTTGGGTGTAGAGAACTTTTTAGGATCAATAGATATTCTATAAGTCATATCTCATGATACCATACAAAATCTATGAAGACAAATATTCCAAGTATGATATAGAATGTTAACATTTGACTCCACTGTATCCTGAGGTATGGATAACAAACTAACCTTGAAACAATGGAGCGATCTTCCAGCACCCTACACCTCCTTCAGACATGAACTGGCCAAGGCTTACTTCGAGGAAAAACGTTGGTATTCCTCCCAGTAAAACAGCTATGAAATACGGTATCAAAAACGCACCTGCAACATAAAATATACCCTAACTGTTTAAAACAACCCTATGTATCAAATACATGATAAAAAATACCACAACTGGATATGAAAATCCCTTGTATCAAATGTGCATGATAAAATATTTCCTGTTGTATGACCATTAGGAATACGTTTTTCATAGAGCCCATTTCTCGCGAATTCACTGTTCGTTGAATTTTTGTATCCGAAAAGAAACTTCTTTTGATAATTTATACATTCTTACATAACAGGATTGTTTACTGTATCCTGTAAAGACTTTATAAAAAGAGACGTCATCGTAGATTTAACGGATGTGCCCGTCATTTGTTCTTTAATAAGAAAAAGAAGAAAATACCAACATGTCAACATTATCATAATCCAAACTCATAATACAACTAGGGCAAAATTTGGACGAAAGATAGATTTACACGGAGGCTCATAAGAAAGTCAAGGAGAATAAGACCAGGTGTTCCGGAAGAGAGTGAGTATCTTTTGGTTCATCGATGTAAATCTTGGTCAAAGTAAGTTATATCATACGTTAAGTTTCAGTGATATTAATTTACATGTCTTTCATGCTCAATTTGTTTAGATGACAATGCTGTTAATTACCAAGGGAACTATTGTCCAGTATGTTTCTACTTGGGGTTTTAAATGTAATTCATCTTTATTGTGACCATAACAATGATACGATTTGTGATCCTTGCGGTGACCAAAATGAATCAAATTGTTAAAATAAACTACTTGTGTCAACCATTAAACATAATAAGACTTGTCACATTGTGGTATCATTTAGACATCTACCCACTGAAGGAAACAAACACGAAACATTTTGAAAGAAAGCATCTGATTGATCTGGAAACCAATCGTTCAGAACTGTGCTTCTCCAGATCACGTGTTACTCCTACACGGACAGAGAATTACGTCCACGTGTTACTCCTACTCCGACAGGGAATAATGTCAAGAGTTTTTCAACACGCACCAAGAGTTTACCTGACCGATATAATTTTTTTTTTTTCATTTCTCTTGTTTTGAAATGTCAGATACATGTGGAAATGGGCGTTTATTATTTTGTCGTTGCATGGAATCCACAGGATATTAAATCCCAAACTATTCCAATAAAAAAACGACTGTCGTCCGACACTGCCGAACACGTGTGTATTTTACTATGTCAATACTACTATGTGCTTATCTGAACCAGATGTTTCATAATTTACAATGTCTCAAACAAAGCAAGAGTTCTGAGTCGACACAAGGGCGTCACTATGGCCCTGAAATATGTCGTTTATGTCACTTTTGTGCTGTAGAAAGCTCGCTATGTGAGATCAACATTGATAACAGCTTCACTGGTCTATTTTCCACAGTCTAATTCAGATCTTATTTCTTGATTTTTCATATTTCAGTTTGGTTGTCACTTATATTTCGTTAGAACTGTTTATTTGGTTAGTAAACTGCCTGGGTAAATCGTCAGTTCAGGTAACTAGATAAGTGCATATTTTTACATCGTCTTCATCAAGTGCTAAAAACGTTAGTGAAACATGGACATTTTCTTCACACCAAGCGCCTCACATCAGTAACTGTTTCAAAAGCAGACATATAGCTGCAGAGTAATTAATAATTAAAAACATATGAAATAATTTGACATTTTGTGCATTGATGATGCATAGATTTTTCCATTTACTAAAGTAGAAAGTATATGAGCAGAACAACATAGAAGCATTACAAGCGGCCATTTCTTACTTTTGTAGACAAAAAATGCTTATACAAGTCATTCAATTTCAGTTTCCACATCAAAAGCTAAAAAGCGAAGGAAATGAAACTACAACAACATCAATGACCTGTTGATGGAGACCCGATGTGTACATTACCGAACACATTTACTAAGCCAAACATAGCATCAACGAAAACAATTTTACTGTCAGCTTTGTACATAATTCATTCCTATTGACTGACATGTCTGTCAAGGTGAGGGCTTGTTTGCGCAAGTAACATGCAACTGTATTGGTATATTGAAATGTAAATGTCAGGCTCCATGTTACAGAAAAAGAACGGAAGTCTCTATGTATCCCTAATGTCCGGAACATGTCATGAATTAACTAAAACACCGCCAAACTGCATTCACATGCTGTAAATAGTGGTATAGTGATTTTGAGGGCGATTTTTTTATTGATAATTGTGGATACATCTGTAATGACCTCTTACAGACATCAAAAGGAGGCTTGAGGTATTGTTGCTGATCACGGTTTATGGTTTTAAAAAGCTTGTTACGAGATCATTATGCAATACATCTTAGTAATAACTTCACAATAATGACGTCAGCAAATCAATTAGTAATTTGATAAGTGTTTATTAAAAAGCACAGTGATGCACTTATTTGTACGCTAGAAGCACGTTTTTGTTCGTTCTGTCGTTGACATTTACTGTGCTATTTTCAAATAATATGTATTACAAACATGTAACGTTTAGGACAACCATTATATCAATTATTAGATTTTTGTTTGCTGATATCACTCAGATTGTACACAAAGTTCACGTATGTTCTGAAGTGTTTGTTTACAAGTTGTAGTACTAATTTCGAAGTATCGCACTTGATTTAATAGATATGTTTAAAACACAACTAACAAATTAAATGGGGCAAATACTCGGATCGTTATTCCACACTCCTCTCACAATGGCTGTTCATATCATAGGATCGTAACAAAATACGAAACAAAACACGCCACTTATCTTGACAAATGACAAACGTATCTAGTAGACTGTCCAATGCGGGGCTTTATTATCATTTGTGATACGGGGCTTTACTTCGAAGCCTAGTTAGTTTATCCATGTTTTACTTACATATGACTTATCTTTACGATCAATAGTGATCATGTTACCACTTGTTTAGGTATACAAATATGATATGGTGTGCGATTTGACCTAAAATTTTCAATAATATTGAAGTGATGCACCAAAAGGAATCTAGAGAAGGATCATTAAAGTAACCAGGACGAACAGAACTTTATCCAAATACCAATAGTTCAAAAGCTCAATAACGCTTATAATTACAAATAGTGAATGTGACACGAGTGTGTTATCATTTGATATCTATAATAACACACAAATGATGCGAATCACCTACATTGTTATGAAATTTATAGCCACCCTTTAATAACTCCATCAGCATTTCGCCGAGCATGTCATAAATCTTATGACACTCAATTTACATTCAGTTATCTCTCTTAAAGGAATATCTGTTTGAAATTACATGTTTTAAGGGTTGTTGTTGTTGTAAGTGTATTTTTTGTGTGTTTTTCTTCTTTATTGCCAATATATTCCATGAAAGACTATCCAGAATTTAACAAGTATTCTTCGTTGGTCTACTGGCTATCAATAAAATGTATGACTCCTCTTTGTTGATTTAATTGTATGCGAGTGCGTGCTTAGTGCAGTGTAACGAGTACAATGCTTGCCTCTGTCGGCGTCTTCTGTAAGACGGGCTGGCAATCACAAAGCCTAAATCACCCACATTAATCATCATATAATCGTTCTCTCAGTCGAGATCCGATTATCTTTCTACCTACAGAAAAAAAAAAATCGAATAAATCGGCGTATAAAGTACGACGTTGGAATTACCAAGTTTGCACAGGTAACCAGAAATGACAGCGGTAATGACATATCACACACTATGCACAGACTAGAATTTCTTGATGTCCAGTCTGAAAGCTTTAATAAATTACCACATACATTAAAATATTCATAATGCCATCCTGGTTTGTTTTAGACACCAAGATGATAAAAATATTCGCCAAGAACATTTTGAATGTTAAAATGGATCATTCGGAGTTTTTTTAACGTTTCTGTGACGAGAACTTGATAGCCTGGTGAAAAAAATATCCCGAAAGTTCATGTCATAAACACTTATTTCAAACTTTATTATCTCTTCTGTTGTAATCGTCATAATTATCATCATGTAATAATTATGTCAAACTCTTCATCCATTTTCTCAATTTTATTACCGTTTACACTATTTGAGAAATGAGTACTGCGGTGGCAATGGAAACTATTTCAGCATCAAATAGTATGACGTTTCCAGCTGACTGTGTTGTCATAAAACCATCGACGCTGACTGTACTGAAGCTATGCTTGACATTGCAACAATGGCGATGACTTATAAATGCGTTGATGACTCTTACAACTTAATTCTTAATATCCTTTTGATCCTTTTTACACGTGTCATAGTTTTAACTTAACTGAATACTTCAATGGGAGGTCATACTTTTATAGGTCCTCGTCCAAACAGGAGTGAAGCGTAATTCCTGCAGAGTATGTTGATGTCGTATTTGTTTACATAAAGTAAATCAATGTCTGAGAATACAGACCGAAATATTAACACACATTACAGTAAAAATGTAAACATCTATATCTATATCATTATTCAGTTTCAAAATATATAATACAGTTTTGGTTTGAATTTCAAAAAAAATATATAATTTTATAAGCAGAGTTCGATTTCTGTCCAGATGTTCGTTAGGCCTAATGTCAATGAACAAAACACACGATATCCAGCGTTACCACAACATGATGATTACGAGGTTTGCTTTTATCGGTGATGTGGGAGAAATTTCGTTCAGACTTGCTAACAATTCCGCTCTATAATAAATTTCTCTTTTTAAAGGTTAAACTAGGGAAAATCTGCTCCTTAGTATACTTATCTTGAACCTATGATACTGGAGATATTTCGCACAATTATATGTTTGCCTTCCACGTGTAAAATGTGTAAAAACAAATCCGTAGTTATCCAGCTTAGAAATTGTTGTTCGGCTATCTTGATAGGAGTGTATGTTGTGTACTAACGTGATACAGGGACTATTTGTCGACATACACTACAATACGGAGACAGCTGGGCTGCGATAGCACCAGACGTCACATACGTTTTACCTTCTTCTCCCGATACTCTATACTAAGACACGAAAATGGCTATCCTGTATCTGAGTTCACGCGTGTAGTCTGTGGCCACTCTAGGGGGTCACTAGAGGTGAAATGATACTACTGGGCCTTCCCGCATTTTGATATATTACATAAACAAGGATTTCATACGAATTGGTGACTATAAATCGTTGTTAGTTTTTGTTATTAGTAAGTATGATGTCTTGTGCGAAAACGCATGGTCATGCCTAACTCATCTGATATCCTCCAAGTGCATTAGACCCTCACACAGCTGGTAGAGATGAAGATCAATGTAAGCAGTCAGAAAACAACACACCGCGGTCACCTCCGCACGGCATGCTTTTCTCATGTTAACCGGCGGCTGTTCGTGTGTTCACACTACTTCGAACAGTATAATTAAATAAAGAATTGACAAAAAGAATATTTACTAATATTGCTTGATGATGGCATTGATGGATTGCTTAAAGAAAAAAATCATTAGGAAGGGATCATAAAAGTATTTACAAATACTGATGTGTAGCAAGAGCATATGGAAACTATACCTTATTGTCTTTGTCTTAGTAAGATGAGATAGGAAAATAACCAGATAACTAGATTCTAAATACAGATTATGCTTTTTTGTGTGTCTATGGATAGTACTTGATAAGCCATTTACTTCGTGTTTTCACTAGAATGACATTGATACTCTTTGTCTAAATGTATCATCAAAGGACATATCATTTGCACATGCTCGTCACAGGATATTTACTGATCACGCTCTGGTAGAATGAAAGAAGCACATGTATACCGAGATTACATTTTCAATCTTTGGCAATATGCCTATTCTACAAGCGTTTTTCATTCCATTTTGAATGTGTGCTGGACTGTTTGACGACTAATTAAAGCCAGTCATGTTGTTCGTGCTATGTCGACATCGGGCCAACCCGACACTCCTTTCGGGTCATCGATGAAATACCAAAACACAATAAGGTCTTTGCCAGCGGAAAAATAACACCATAGCTAAACCAACAACGTAACGCTAATATGAGCATAACCTGTTAGTTATCACAATAACAGAATACCTGTGTTTGTATTGCTTCTAAATGTAAATAAGCTCTTACATCAGTACTGCTATCAATGGAAATCCGTTCTAGACAGAATTCGACACTTTAGCAGACGACAATCTTATCGATTTTCCGTGGCATTAACAAACTAAGAAGCCATTGCCTCTTTCTAACGATAACACTACTGTACTTGGTATAGGGCAACATCGCCATAACGATGCGAGTCACGTGGTTTGTTATTTTCGGTTACTAATATGTGAGGAATACTTCATGCAATACAACGAAAATCCATATAATTTGGTTACCCAAAATACCTTTGGTGGAGATAGCAAATTTGAAATGGATGGAAAGTTAAGCGTAGGGCTATCCCAGAATGTTTATTATCGTAAACAAACTAACATGTTTGAATAACAAAAAATATTCGAAATTTTAAAATTGTGAACATGACCACTTTCCATGTTTGTTATGATAAAAACATCACATGAACTGACATATGTTCTCGGACACTAGTTTTAGAAAACAACACATCACAGTGAACCAAGACTATGTATCCGTATAATACATGTATGTGTGCTTTCGTCCAAATGTATGACAATATGGCGATCACAAAGCATCGCAAGTTCCGAACAGTCGACCTTTCTCGATAACATATCAGATATCTGCCAATATACCTATGTATCTTGATGCTCTTAAATTAGAATTATTTCGGATAAAACATGTTGGCAATCAACAACAAGATTTGGACCGGAATCAAAACAATGCCACGAGGACACAAATCGCCGTCGCATGTTCAGAGAGAGCGACAATTGCGTGTCTCATATCTACAGTCTACGGTATACGGTTGTAATATAAGCTGCTTACAGAAGACGTGTTATAGAATTCGAAACCTATAACAAATAAGTCTTGTTGATCATTTTTGCAATGTGTTTTGTTTCTGATGAAAATTTGCCTTCTCTGTCCTTGGTGTGAAAATCACACTATATAAAACAGAGGCTGGGTAGTTTACAGCTCCCTCATTAAATATACAAAGAGCAGACCTATACGGTGAAATTTATTGACTTTTTCTGAAAACAAACCTCCACAGAAAATAAGTGGATGTCGATTTTGGTTGATTACCAGACATTTATTCCAATCGGAAGGATTTACTGTCTACTTGGATCCACATCTGTTTTTAAATTCTTCACCGTAAAAAATCCGATAATAAGCACACATAAATGTTATCAAAAAGTACACGGACCGGCAGTTACGTCTATGTTTAGCGACTGAAGACCTCGAATACATTTCTGACATTAGGTGTTTATCTAATTTGTATAAATAGCCGGCGTTGGTTGGCAAGGAAGTGACGGATAAGTGGCAGTGTCGAACAAACATTCTACAGCGAGATCAAAAGACTCCTCCCTTCGTTTCTGGCATGTTCTTGGCACCGTGACATTCATGGATGCACTCTTTTACTAGACAATTTGATGCTCAGAAATCCAGCCTTTCAATAGGAAACTTATCAAAGGAAGATTCGGTTGACAGGTTAACTTGCTTAACTGAAGGTCATACCATAGACATTTTGTTATTGAACCCTACAATCTGACTTAGTAATAGGGGCGAAAGCCGGCAGAAATTTAATTGCTGGTTATAGACTTAATGGATACAAACAGGAAAAGCGTGACGTTACGTAATTGCATTCTGTGGCGATGGATTACCGACAGACGGTACCCTAGACCACCCTGGACGTCTACAAAACACCCTGACCATAACATGTCGTATAATGAAAATGTTCACATGTCTAAGTTTAGGATTTAAAAATCAAATTTACCTACCTAATTCACATCACTTATAGGTATGTGCATTCAAGATAGGTTCCATGACCTATATTTATGTTGTGTAACGATTAACTGAATTCCACACAGACTGTAAAATATTTGTGTATGAAGGGCTGAAGTAATAGAGATAGGATACAACATGAGTATTGCTTGAGGGAGTAGACATTTAGTATGTTTGATCAAACTCAAATGATCTCAATGATTTCATCAGTTTTATTTTGAACGTCTTTGATTCATGCTAGCGTAAATTTTACCTGAAGACTAAAATGGAAGAAACACAGTAATGGGGTTTTGTAGCATTAGTGTATATATGAATCTTCCTTTGTTTATTTAAAAGTCCATTGTACTTTGAATGTTATTGTACTTACTTAACTATATTAATACTTCATAGTTAAGAAATATAGCCATCATTTTGAAACATTTAAATTCCAGTATACATTGTCTGTTTAAGAATTAGCAAATACATTGTTAAAACTAGATCTAGGCCCTGTCACCCTAATAACTATCTGCTGGGAATGTTTTGTCTATGTATTAACCAAGTGCTTTATGTGATGTTGTTGTATTTATTTGTTGTAGGCAGAGTCCGTTTGTTATTTTTATACAAAATGACCTTCCGTAATATTGTGTGTTCATCAAACCGTTAACAAATATTTTTTTGGAATACTTCTAACTGTGGTCCATCTTCTTACAATTCAATAAAAATATATATAAATAGATATCATAAAAGATAACGATGACAATATACTGTTACTTTTCTTAAGTATTTCAAGATGAAAAGCTGTAATTAAATGTGAAGCCATTCTCTCTGAGCTATTTATCAACGAAAGGTCATGAATGATTGTTGATCTAAGATGTTGGTTGTAATCAAGTTGCGGAATTTATTGAAATATTGCTAAAACAGTTTTTATTGGTTTTTAAAACTTCCTTTTTTCTTTACTTTCTGTAACATTACAGTGTTCTGAAACATTTTTGACATAAATACAATTGTAATTACTTTGTCCCATTCCAAGACTGGTGAGTAGTTCATGGGGGAAATTCTCCATACAGTATATTTGATTCAAGTCTTTGACTTACCTCCACCGTTCTTATAACACAGGAAAGGGAATCTCCAGACATTTCCAAGACCGACAGAAAATCCAACACAGGCCAACAGAAAGTCAATTTTCCGGGTCCAAACCTCCCGTTGGTACAACTCCTTTTTGGGGTTGTCGCTTTCTGTGGAAGATCCGGATGTATCCGAAGAGATCGCGTCAGGGCAGCATCCATGTTCTCGATGTCCATTCGTTAAGTGTTCTTGTTCCAGTTTATAATTTTCTCGTTCATCTGGTGAGGTCATTTTGAAGATTCAATGTCTACAAATACAAATAAATTATATTCATTTTGAACTTCAAATAAATTGAATATATTTCAGTAAAATAAGACACACACTAGCTTAAGAGGCTGTGAATAATCCCTCTGACGTAGCGAACATAGGAATTGTGTCTATATATAACAGATATTCTGTGTCTCACGAACATGTTTCTGTTATTTCAGTGTCAATGGTGTAGCGATAAATTAATCGTTCATATTGTTCTTTTGCTTAGGATTTAAATATAGAACAATTGATACAACCTGCGTATCCTAGCAACACGCCAACATGGCCGGCATTCATACTAACATGGTCATGAATATGGAGTTACTGCATTTCAGTTAGCTTATCGCCATTATTTTAAAACTAAAATAAAATCGGCAAACATCAAACTAAATATCATATATTTAAAAAAACTATAGTTGATCGGTTCTAAAAGCCAACAAAAATATCAGTCATCAATGATCAACCTGGCGGGTTCTTTTTCCATTGGTCTAAGTTGACCATGCAACGACATATTGTAAGAACCATTTGCACTGCTTGTACCTACAGCACTCCACTGGTGTGCACATGTTTTAAAATTTTTAACCATAATTTTCTTTTTGAAATTTTCCACCAGGTATCACACGATAGTGGTTCAGTGACATTGTATAATGGTGGGAGATGTAATTATATCACATACTTCAGTGGAAATCGATACCAGCATGCATTTAAATATGTAAACATTGTCAAGCAAATGGTATTCAAAGCATGTAAAAATACAGGTATTCAGGAATATCAACAAACACTAAAGACAGTGATTTTTTAATATTTAAATTTAATTACGGTGTGGAAATACATTATTATTTACATAACTATATGCTTTCTTCACATATTGCGTTTACAGGTGCAAAGATTAGCGGGGGAGATGAAGGGTGCAGTGGCATAAGTGTAGTGTTACTTTAGTGTGTAATAATGAGTGTAGACAAGTTCCAAACTACAAACTGTCCTGTAGCTGGAGCAGTGGAGAAACTGCCGGCGCAGATGAATGACACGAAACACGTTCATCCACGACGCTGAGTACATAAGTACGTATATTCCAGGATCATGATGCCTTATGTTTCACTTATGTTTACATTGTGTATATACGCGTGGTTGTTTGTGCAAAACATCGGGTATAAATAAACATAAACAGAATAATCTGTACATGTCACAAGCAAACACGTGATTATACACGAGTACTTTCCAGAAAGGTGACTAAATAATACCAATTTCATAGGTCGAGTTCGACTTAACGATGTTGGTCTTTTGATAATCCTATACACAGATATAAAATAAATTTATACCTTGTAGAGACTGAGAGATTAAGGTGTGATATATCGGATTTGCCTCCTTAACCAATCCTTTCAGCATGTCCACACACATAATGTTCTGAACAGCGATGCTCGGCTAAACTAGTCACCGTTGGAATTCAAGGATTGGTAAATTGGATCTCGAAAAAAAAAGTTCGATATCAGATGTGATGTTTCGTGGTTTCAATAATCCGGAGAAGCTACGGAATTAGACAAAACTTATCTTTATCATCTGGATAAAATAGTGTGTAAATCGATTTCACACAGCGACACTTGACGTTGAGTCTTAGTGCATGGGTACAAGGGCAACAGGTGCGACATTATCAACCATCTCATTCACACGTGGTAGTACTGCCCAATCATGCCCGTCGCTCAGCAATTCGTCTTGGGGTTCTATTCAATGTCTTGGGGTTCCTTCGTCAAGGAATATTTTTTTTAAATGACTGATAAACATTGGATCATATTCTCTATGGTGGTACATGCAATTGTAAGTAAGCAGACTGTCTCTCGTTAAGTAGGTGAAAATTAAAATCCCTGCAATCAATGTTTGAATGGACTCGGTGCAAATGATATCAAGTTACTAATAACTGTCAAGTTGAGAAGAATCCTGGTCAGACTCGAAAATGATCCTAATTCTATCTTGGTATGCCAAGGAAAAGACCTTGAAAAAGATTTTCTACTCTTGATGTTATATTCAGCACCTCATGTTCAGCAGATGTGAAATGTGCAATTGGTGCCACGGCTTTTCACTACTCTGAGAGATTGAACATTTTTTGCATGATTGTTGGTCTGACAATGCCCTATTTTCTCTCACACTAATGTTGTTGATATTGTAGCCGTTTGTAAAGCAAGTTTAAATCTGTTCCAATGTCATTTTTTGTGGCACCGTGTCAAAAATAGCAGTATTTCAACCATCGTGAAAAACTGTCTTTTAACTGTTCTTTGTATATCATGAATTAAATTCCTTCCTTATTGAATAAACAGATACTAATTCAACCCCTTTGGTTACCCCTTTATCTTACTGCTGCTGTCAATTTACACATGTTTCTTACACAAATCTAAGATTGTTTTAATTACACGCTCCATCATTGTAGAAAGTTAATGCTCTCTTTGATGAGTTTGTGACCGATGCTGATTATTTGCTGCTTCAAGACGGAAGAACATAAAATTTTTAACGAGAGAATTTCAATATTTGGTGGCAGGAAAAAGCTGAATATCGAAATTTGCCCCCCCCCCCCCCCCCCCCCCCCCCCCCCCCCATATATATATATATATATATATGTAAGAGAGATAAAAAATTAAAAGCAAGAAAAACACAATGCAATGTATGTAATGTATATCTTGTGATTCAAACCCTTAGCCAGTACTTACGGTATTTAATTTGATCCTTCTATTTCCGGTTGCCGAAACTGACACGCCGTGAGGAAACAATACTGATATCGTGTGTATAAACACAGGATGATAAACATACACTCGTGGTATTTATCGTATCAGGGGGATAGTTTACAACAAATGTCAAACAGGGAACCAACCAGTAAACATAATATTGCACGGTACCTGACATAGATGGCTTGCCGTGGTATAGGTTACTCCATATTTAAGGGACAACTGTGACGCCATATATATGTGTCGGTATTCTGGTACCACATAGGTTTGTGAGAAAACATCATTTAGGTCTGGTCTCAATAATTTGGATCAATCTAAGAATATCTTAAAAAACTCCAATGATAAAAATACATAAATACTTGTAATAACGCCTTATTTGACGGTCGCTTGATTTTCAGGTTGGGATGAAAATTGGGGTATAACAATGCTGTCAAGGAAAAATATCAAAAGTTTACAAATAAATCGAGTCATACAATTACAAAAAGGTAAGGGAAATTCCCGAATTAGTTGTTAGGATGAATGGAAAATGTGAAGGGGAGACAATCATTTGACACCTGGTGATAGAATGATTCAAGCTTCAGGTTATTACCGGATATGTATTCGTCACGTTACCAAAATCTGTAAACTAACGCCGATGAAACCTTGTAGAGATTCCTAGCTGTTTATCCATGGTGTTAACTTTCTCGAGTTATTAGTATCAGCCAATCTCAAGCTAGATCGAAAGGCAGATGCAAATGAGAGACTTCACGAAAAAAGAATCGTGTATCCTGCTGATAAATTTTTGAGGATGGCAAATATGAACCTATAAAAAGGTCTGTGCTGGCAAGCAAACCCGATAAAAGAGAGAAAAAAAACATCTCTATGTATGTACTGCAGATGTAAAAGGAACATCACCACAAAGTGATTGATCACCGCTGTAACCCTATCATATTGATTATTGGGTCGAAACACACAGTGAAGGATGACATCGGCTTAAGACATGGGAAAGCCTACCGAATGGAAACGAGAGGAATTCTCGGAACGCCAGCTCGGAAGAATTAACACTTCCAAAAAATGGGGAAAAAAAAGAAAATAATGTAGACCTTTGCTTTAGATCAATATCATTCATTGCTACTTAATACACAGACAAATATATTCTGTATTATAATGTGTGAAATGCTTTTCCTGTTTGGGCTAAGTCTTGGTTTTGTTACACAAATCTGACACAGCTACCATGACTTTTGATCATATCACTTCTACACCAATATCTGAAGACTTCCTTATGTTAAACATGCTATGTCCGTGTGATATATCTAAAGGTGTTTGAAATCTGATCTGGAAGAGAAGCCATTGGCGATTTTTTAAAATTTTATTTTCTTTCAAGTCTCTCTAGACCAAGTAGTTAATTGCCTGTTTAAATATTTTCAGACAGAGACGCTATATTTATTTCTGTCCTATTTCGTCCCCTATCTCTCATGTGTTTTAAAATCAAAAGTTTAAACTTACATCCTCGGATTTTTCCATTTTTTTTTTAAATCTCCCAGGCAATAAGATGAGAAGCGAAAGGTGTTATCGATCGCGAAGCCGAGACGATAAAAACTTGATAATGACTTTTGGTAGTTCTCGGAAACGAATTTGTACATTTAAAAACTCTACTAGTGGAATAAGCATTCTAAAAGAAAGCAAAAACTAATTTCATTAGACTATACTGGTACCGTACACTACTGTTCAGACAGCTTATAGATGTTATCTCCCAAACTCATTTCACAAGGTCGTAGTTCGTGGAGAGTTCCCTGTTAAAAAAGGTCATCAGCCAATCGCTCCGCCAACATGCCTATTTCATGTCACGTGGCCCAAAGCCAATAAGGTGAGACTGGTTCATATGTTTCGGAGATAGAAACTGTATCCAGTGATGATGGGACCACTGTATGGTCATTTTATATTGTCGTTACAGAGGCGGTCACGTTTAGTATCACCGTAGTGACGGTACCGGCAGACTGGCAAACTATTTTTAGGTCTGGAACAACAAAGTAACAGAATACAGGGACTAAGGATAACATATGAATATGATTGTTGTGCTATAAGTAAGTTGTTCTATCAACTGTAGACGTATCACCTCGACATGTGACGGACTTTATTTTTGTACTATCGCTTTATAGCCGGTACACTGAACACTGTATAGTTACAGAACACGCTCAAGTGGATTAGCATTGCAAATAAAAACGGACTGTTGTGCAGGAAGATTTTAGTGTTATTGCAAGTATTTCCCTGGTGTCCCCACGCTAATAATAATAATTGAGATATCACCAATTAATATTAACGTATGTCGGCATCATTCGTGTACACGAGATGGATTTTCTACATAAATAACTGAACCCTTCCATAAAACAACCCCATTTCAAAACAGCCCAAGCGCAACACTTTTAAAACTATTCAAATTGTAAATGCTACTTTAATATATAAAATGCATCACTTAGCAAATCGTCATCAAAGAATTCAGACATCCCAGGATCATTCAAAAGTATAAATAAATATATATATATGTACCTAAGGAAAAGATCTTTAATGATACCCGCTGACAGGTACCCTATTACTTAAACGATATCCGTTTTCATTGACAGCGCATATTTTCAGTGGAAAGGTAGAGCATAACACTTATTTGTTTGTGTTTTGTAATTACCGAAATAAACACACTTTATTGTACAAAAAACTCGAAAGACATGGAGAAGGAAGTATGTATGGCCCGCTGAAAGTCTTAAAGCTGTTGTCACGAAATGATATCATATTACATAAACAGGAAGTCGTGACGTCATTATTTCGTGCGTAGTAAACGCTATACGCGATGTTAACAGAGCGCGTTACGCTAACAACGCACGCGACATTTATCAAACGGTATATGTGACGTATATAACACGTGACTGTTTGTGCTGTACTGATCAATTAGTAATTACAAATGTCACAATGAGCGGTACTGGGGAAGACTTTAAAGTTCAACCAACCCGGTCAATCTTGTGAATCTATTAGCCTCGATAAATCAGAAACTGTATAGATATTAATCTTCAAACAATCTGTTTAGATCATTAAAAGGATTCCTTCTGTTTACATGCCCGGCAACCGTTACAAAATAAACCACAATGACGACGAAAAAGATTGATCTAAGACACTCGTTGGGTTTTAAAGATTTGTAACAGCGCAAAATAATGGAACAAAAGAGCTGAGATTAATCTCTTAGCAGGTTCAAACCGACTCGGCGAGACCATTCACGCGAGCTTAAAATTTCAATGAATCGAAAACACACTGACTTCAATATAGAGCATTATCTATCCTGACAAAGATTATCTCATTAACCTAGATATAACGGAAACAGTCCTTTATGACAAAAATACAGCTTGTTAGCATGATAAGGAAATCGGATATACCTTGATCGAGACGAACGTGAATGGACGCGCTGTTAAAGTATTCAATAACAGCTTAAATTATATTTTTAACTTCCTCAATAGGACAGCTGTATACACACAGGGAAGGACTTGGCACAAAGTCTAAATACCCGTCCTCCATAATTACATGAATATAGTGACAAGGGATATAACTCCATAAAAGGGACAACTGAACATGTTTTTTCCTTATTAAGCTGTTTGGATTTTTTTCCTATGGGTCGTAAATTTTAGTAATACATAATTACTTTTAAGAGGAATGGTTTATCTTTCAAATGGGTATTTGATTAATGAGATTGACCAAGTATTAACTAAGTTAGGACCTGACGAAATCGGAATTATATGTAGATATTGCTTGGCAGACATATCTAGCCCCGTTGAAACATCTTCCTGTCTCTGATGCGAACATCAATAACTACTCCGATAAAATCTGCGCTTGTGACTGTATACACATAATAAACAGAAAAAAATCAATTTTCATATTTCTTTTCTCGGGAGTTACAACCCCTGTCATTATAATACATGCATATGGACCATGGGCTGGGAATTCGTGTCAAGTCCCTGTTGTTTTACACAACAGTAATTTATTGCTCTTGAATCCTATGCCCTGAATAATTTCCTTTTTTCCACGTCGAATTCGACAGTTTAAAGATTTATTTTAACCATAAAAAGGTGGCTAAAAACACATTAACTATAGCTTTGTATGCAGGTGAGCTCGCCGCACTGCGCACGTGGTTTTCTTTAACTAAAGGTTAATGCCCCATAGTGATAAATCGAAGATACTGTTATCACAGTAACCTCCCACTAGGTAACGGAAATAATTAAACACAATATATGTTTGAAGGCATGAAGTTAAGCCGTCAATAGAATAATGCGATTTACATAGTAAACGTTCGGGTATCGGATATCTGTGTTACTAACGGCATATTATGTGTTGGTAAAAAAAAAAAAATATATATATATATATATCAGAGTTATCATGTCTTTGACTTGTAATGCCAGTAGCACTGAAGTGAAGCAGGGATTTAATTGACCTTTTGAGGTCACGTCATTTACGATATCACAAATAGGAATTATTTTCTTTGACGCCTGAATTCGAGGGAATTAAGTGTACTAGAAATAAAAAAACTTGACTTTATCGATCCGCTTTGAAGGTCAGTTACTCAAGCCGTGCGTTTGTAAATAAAATAATTGATTTAATTAAGTTTAATTGTTCTCTAATAATTATATGTAAAATATTTGACTCATCAAATCAATATGGACCTTTTATACAAACATTCGTCTCATTTCTGTTTCGGAAATCAAAATATCTTAACATATGCATCGCAAATTATTCTTGGTATTGCGCTCATTATAAAGATTACCCCTTTCCTTGACCGTAAATATTGATCCGATAAGCAGGTCTGGGCGAAAAGCCACCTCTAAACTATATACATTTTGGAATTAATTGTAATATGAAATTGGTCTTTGGATAAATTTGAACGGCGTTTAGCTCGAACCTTATCAAGTTAAGTTGGGTGCAATTTGCAAAGGTGATTTTTTTTACCATTTATCTGAAACTACGTTGGAAATGTCCCCACGAGTAATGAGTGGAGCGATAGTAATGGTACGTTGAAAAGCTGCATTGGATAATGTGTGGTGGCCAACATTCAGTCGCTTAGAAATAACAATCCTGCGTGTCATTCTTTGCAGGTAAATAATTTAAACTTAAGATACTTTTGTCCAAAAGATGTTATCATTGTTTAGACCCGAGCTTCTACAGAGTGAAAAAAAGCTAGTTACCACGAAAAAAAAATTCTGAAACGAAATGCAACAAAATGACTTTTCCCTACGATTTGAAAATTCTCATTTATACACCAAGTTGAACACTAATAAGAGCGAACTTCAAATATGTCCCGAGGTACGTGATCTTTCATGAGTCAGTCCTATCAATGTTATCGTCTTAAGTTTCCATTATCTATGGAAATGAATGTTGACGTTGAGGTTTTACAAACGATGACGTAGAAACATTGAATTAGTGGTTTTGTAGATGAGCAGTACATCACAGCTGTAACATTATATATATAAATGAACAATGATGCATGCATCTTGACAAAATGACAATTAAGCAGGGGCTGTTCTTGGTCTGGCAAACGAAGTGGTGGTGAATAAAAATGGACAGAAATTCCAGAAAGCATATTGTTATCCTTTCCATCAAGTTGGCAAGAAGCCAGTTATAGATCGTGAGAAATATTGTACTTCAGGGAGTGACCTTTTATTAGACAACAGTAAACATGGCGTTGATGACCACCAATTGACTGACGTGACACGATCACTAATGATCTCAAAATGAGAAAGATCATTACAAATTGACATTGTTTTAAGTTAACATTGGAAAACACTGCGTTGAGAGTGCTTTACGTTTGTCGTTCCCTATACAAAAGATTCCAAAAGAACGAAGACATAAACATATATATATATATATATATGACTTCACCAGGATTGACACAGAACCTTCCACCAAACTTCCTACACAGAAAAACGAAATAGCACCGACTCCATCTTTCCGAGATATCCCATCAAATACTGTCAGACTCAACTCGTTGTAACTCTAAACTATGTATTTAGTGCCAGACATGCTTATTTATTTCTCTGAAAGCAGATCTGAATCCAGACAACGTCAATCACAACGACATCTGCTTATCGGCAACCGATTTAACCAAGGATGGAAATTTTGCTTCCTTATTATGGAGTGTTCCCGGAACCTTAAAATTACTGTTTTTACTACGTATAAAGACCTCACGAAAGCTGCCTATTCCAGCTTCTAATATATACACTCACAGACTTGCCGAGCGATGCCACTGTACCAGTGTATATAGTACTGATCTGCGTGTATTTATGATAAAAATAGTAAGAAGTTGGGCGGAAATAGTAAGAATACCGCTTATGTTTAGCCCGACTCAATAATTGACATTTACTCTTGAAATGACCAATGGGATTCGGCCACACCTTCGAAAGGATACAACAATGTACGTGTAATAGCATAGCCAGTTCATGTCCATGAATTCTGCGACCAAATTTGGATCAAGATCCGATTAAATTATATTCATTAGCGACTCCTACGCTTTAAGTGTTCAAGGATTAGAATCAGTCCACACATTTAAGAAGACTGACAAATCTAGCAGAATTCTGCTTAAAATTCATGAAAACAGTAGCGTTGTAACATGGGCACTTTATATAATTATATCGTATGTGTATTTGATAATTAATTTATACTGCACGAGTAACTGGCTAAACAGTATCTATCACTTATCAATGACCTTGTAATAAGGTCAAATATTACCAACAGCATGAACTACTCTAATGATGTACTAGAAAAACATGAACTAAGAAACTTTAAACTTTTTCCCATGTCTACACAGACAAAGAAATGCCTACGAGTAAAATAAATGTATCATCCAATTTTCTGAAATATTCTATATTGCAATAAATTATTTTAGATACAATGACGTCTGTGAATTTTATAGAAAAATAGCACGAGAATCATAATATGCTACAAAACATGTCAATATGTTTAAATCGAAGGAGGGACAAGCCTTGTTAACATAAATTAACATACTGCACACAATTTTTTGACACGACATGTACATGTACGTGATAAAAATGCATGACGTGCATTGCATGTGTTACGTAACGGTTGTGACGCATAGCTCACTAGAAGAAAAAACACTATGATTTACTCAAACCTCCGATATCCCCCTGACTCATTCATGCTAAAATCCCCGGTATCACACAATGAACGGTATAACCAGAGGCCATTGTCGATTTCCCAACACAATGGCTTTGCGACGAAATACATTAAAATCGTTACAACTTACCTCCACATAAAACACTCCAATATCCCAGCCGATGTTTCTTATGCGGAAACAACACCAAGTTATTAGTCTCGATATTTTCACAGTACAAGCCGAGTCGAGAAGAAGAAATAAGTGCGGTTTTCCACTACTGTATGTGTTACCTGCTGCTACGGAGCACGTGTTTAAACTGAGCCCGGCACTCGTGGTACTATGTATTTGTAGTCGAGACAGGCGTGCAGGCGCACACGTGTAGTAACGACGCACGCTTGGGGTTCAATATGAAGCGCTTTAGCTGCTCTGTCAAAGGTTAAATATATGAGCGTTATACTGTAAGGCGATTTTGTAATCAGCTAAGTATTTATATAAACCTTTCTGGTCATGGAGGATTTACATAGATATATATATATTTAGATAATATATACAACCCTTTCGTGTTACTATGGAAACCGTCTGGAAATTATCAATTCAAAGTAGCGTTCGTTGTTCAAAATGTTAGATTTTATTGTTGGACTCAATGAATGAATCTAGAAGCACTGACTTATCGATAACGGTTTGATTATAACACACAATACAATTCAATTGAATCCACGTGCACAATACCTCGGGTTGTAAACCGAGGGCAGGCGGTTATTGAATCCCAGCCATATGTTCATCATACACACACACACACAAATTCCTTGCATGACAAAACTCTATAAATAATTAAATATCATTATTATGTAGTGGAGGGACTATGAGGCGTCCCAAGTATTTGGTAGGTTTTTTGGAAGATGCACATACCTCTAGCTACCCCATTTCCACTCTACACCGACCTCTCCTCTCTCATCAACTTATATTATCAACAGCTATATTTACTATTGACCTAATGAATTTACCACGTGATATGTGTTCCTTATTCTTCAATTTGCAGAAATACCACCCACCCACACACCACTCACCCCACACACTCACAAAAATCCAACTCCTGACAATATATGCCCTCTCTAGTAATACACACACACACACCCTACACACACACCACACTGAAACACCCACACACCATTCATCCCCCCCCCCCCCCCCCACACACCCGACTTACCCACACACCCTCACCTACACCTACACAATATGTACTCCTTATCCAACTCTGACAATATATGCCCCTGTAGTAGTACACAGCCCTCCCCTCCACACACACACCACACACCCATACACCTCACACAACACACCACACCACATACACACCCACACATCACATACACACCCTCACATACCACACACACATACATCGCACACCCATACACTACCCATCCAAACACCATTCACCCACATACCCACACACCACCCACACACCCACACCCCCTAACCTACACAATATGTACTCCTTATCCAACTCCTGACAATATATGCCCCTCTAGTAATACACAGCCCTCCCCTCCTAACACACCACACACATCCATACACCCCACACCACACACCCACATACCACCCATAACCACACACCACACACCCACACACCAACTCACCCACACACCAACACAACCTCACCTACACACCCTCACCTTCACAATATGTATTCCTTACCCAACTCCTGACAATATGTGCCCCCTCTAGTAATACACAGTCCTCCCACACACCACACACCGAAACACCCACACACCATTCACCCACACACCCACACACCATTCACCCACATACCCACACACCCTCACCTACACAATATGTACTCCATATCCAACTCCTGACAATATATACCCTTCTAGTAATACACAGGCCCCCCACATACACCACCCACCCTCACCTACACACCCACACGCCATCCACACACCACACACCCTCACCTCACACCCATACACCACCCACACCCACACACCTTCACCTACACAATATAAACTCCTTATCCAACTCCCGACATTACATGCTCCTCTAGTAATACACTGACCCCCCCTCGCCCACACACACACCACACCCACCCACACCACACACCCACACACCTACACACCCACACACCACACACCCACACCCACTCCTTCACAATATAAACCTAACACACTACACAATATAAACCTTAATCCCGACCATACGTCCCCTCTAATGATACATAGTAACCCCCTCCCGCCAACGATACATACTACTATACAACTTAACATACCCCTTAAATAATAATACAACACCGCCCCAGCTTCATAACCTATTCCCGACGATGTATATCCCCAAAATAACACACAGTAACTCTCCTTAACACCACAACACCTTCACAACATTAACCGAAACCTGGCCATACACACTCCTCGTCGTAGTAACATACAATAACCCTCTCCCAATACACCTTCACATAACGTACTCTCCACTCATAATAAAAAAATCCGCCCCCTACATCCCCCCCCCGCACCACACACACACCTACAAAATATATACCTATTCCCGACCATACACACAAAGTAATCACTCATACACTCAATCCCATAAAATATCAACCAATCCCGACCATATCAACCCTAGTCATACACAATTTCCCTCCTGACACACCTACACAACACCTGCTACGGACCATACATACTCCCCTGATAATACACAGTAAGCCATCTTCCTTAATGGGTGAAGGTAAAATTACCGTGGAATGGAACTGTATCACCATTATACCAATACGCTTGAAACAACATATGGATATAAAAAAAAATCTTACATTAAGTTATGACCACAATGATTCATTCACGTAATCAATAATTCAAACGAAAATGAGTTGTTTCTTCAACTGTTCGAATCCGCTAAATTAGTTGATGGCTGACTGTGACTATGGCTGTGACTATGACTCTGGCTATTACTTTGGCTGTGACTGTGATTGTGACTGTGGTTGTGACTGTGACTACGGTTGTGACTGTAACTGTTACTGACTATTTCTATGACTGTGACTGTGATTTTTATTGTGACTATTGATATGTCTTTTACTGAAGCTAGAAGAATGACTGTGACTACGACTTTGACTACGACAATGACTACGACTGTGACTATGACCGTGACTACGAGAATGACTACGACTGTGACTAGGACTTTGACTACGACTGTGACTACGACAATGACTACGGCTGTGACTATGACCGTGACTACGACAATGACTACGACTGTGACTACGACTGTGACTACGACAATGACTACGACTGTGACTATGACCGTGACTACGACAATGACTACGACTGTGACTATGACTGTGACTACGACAATGACTACGACTGTGACTATGACCGTGACTACGAGAATGACTACGACTGTGACTAGGACTTTGACTACGACAATGACTACGGCTGTGACTATGACCGTGACTACGACAATGACTACGACTGTGACTACGACTGTGACTACGACAATGACTATGACTGTGACTACGACAATGACTACGACAATGACTATGACTGTGACTACGACAATGACTACGACAATGACTACGACTGTGACTACGACTGTGACTACGACAATGACAATGACTGTGACTACGACAATGACTACGACTGTGACTACGACTGTGACTACGACAATGACTATGACTGTGACTACGACAATGACTACGACAATGACTATGACTGTGACTACGGCTGTGACTATGACTGTGACTACGACAATGACTACGACTGTGACTACGACAATGACTACGGATGTGACTACGACAATGACTACGGCTGTGACTACGACAATGACTACGGCTGTGACTACGACAATGACTACGACAATGACTATGACTGGGACTACGACTGTGACTATATCTGTGACTACGACTGTGACTATATCTGTGACTACGACTGTGACTATGACTGTGACTGCTACAATGACTACGGCTGTGACTATGACTGTGACTACTACAATGACTATGACTGTGACTACTAATTTGACTACGACTGTGACTACTACAATGACTAAGACTGTGACTACGACTGTAACTACGGCTGTGACTATGACTGATTTTTAATACTCCCGAATATTTATCTTCACGTATGTCAGTACGATCAATTACATGCAATGTGTCTACAAAACAGCTCGGTGTGCTGTTTACCACGATTACACATAAATACCTGTACTTGCTGTTTAGGATCAAGGTCCTGAAATATCTCCATTGGACCTGTCCTTTCTATTTAGTGTATTTGCTTAAGCCAGGTAGTTCTCCATTTGACAAATTACCAACATCCATTATAGTAAGAGCGGACTTAGATACACGTTAGTGAAGTTCGATTTCTCACACAAAGGCCGTCCTTTGTTAGGTTTGTACACTGTTGAACAGGACTATTACAGGGAAAATGGGGACATGGCTTAACGTTGGGCGTCAATTTGTTCTCCATTCAACATTACACAGGTTTTATTAAAATACACACGCCTGTTGTATTCCGAGTGACAATGCTATTGTGCTAGGGATAAATCTGAATATGTATAGTGACAATAAAATGTCTGTTTCTTTGTGATCACTTATTACGTATAAAGGAAACAGGAACTTCTGTGCAGTTGATAAAGACAATTGACCGACAATTTCTCTATTATCGCTCAAAGTGCTGTTTACAATTGAGTAGAATATATTCACAACGGAGTGTTTCCTCTCTGAATTTGTTAGAAAAAAAAACTACAGAAGGACGTCATGCTACCTCTGTGTTAAATTTGTTTCCATAGAGCTATTCATATTGACAAATATAAGTCATGTGAATTGGTCGCTATACAAGGCATTAAACGATGTCCACAAAATTATTATTGCGAAGATAACGAAAACCTCAAAAGCATACATCATCTGATAAGTCAATGGTATGTAACGAAAAGTGTTAAGTTGTTTCCATAAAAAATACTCTCTACAAAGACCAACATGGAACGCTTCCCAAAATGGGTTAGATCTTCACATCAATATATGTCTCCAGCGTCTCTAAAATCAGCACATATGTCTCCAGCGTCTCTAAAAGCAGAACATATGTCTCCAACGTCTCTAAAACAAGCACACATGTCCCCAGCGTCTCTAAAAACAGAGCGTATGTCTCCAGCTTCTCTAAAACCAGCACATATGTCTCCAGTGTCTCTAAAACCAGCACATATGTCTCCAGTGTCTACAAAAACAGCACATATGTCTCCAGCTTCTCTAAAACAAGCACATATGTCTCCAGTGTCTACAAAAACAGCACATATGTCTCCAGCTTCTCTAAAACAAGCACACATGTCTCAAGCTTCTCTAAAACAAGCACATATGTCTCCAGTGTCTACAAAAACAGCACATATATCTCCAGCTTCTCTAAAACAAGCACACATGTCTCAAGCTTCTCTCAAACCAGCACATATGTCTCCAGTGTCTACAAAAACAGCACATATATCTCCAGCTTCTCTAAAACAAGCACATATGTCTCCAGTGTCTACAAAAACAGCACATATGTCTCCAGCTTCTCTAAAACAAGCACACATGTCTCAAGCTTCTCTCAAACCAGCACATATGTCTCCAATGTCTCTAAAAACAGCGCACATGTCTCAAGCTTCTCTAAAACCAGCACATATGTCTCCAGTGTCTCTAAAAACAGAGCATATGTCTCCAACGTCTCTAAAACCATCACATATGTCTCCAGTGTTTCTAAAGCCAGCACATATGTCTCCAGCTTCTCTAAACACAGAATATGTTTCCAGTTTCTCTAAAACCGGCACATATGTCTCCAGCGTCTCTAAACACAGAGCATATGTCTCCAGCGTCTCAAAAAAAAATCACATATGTCTCCAGCGTCTCTAAAACCAGCACATATGTCTCCAGCGTCTCTAAACACAGAGCATATGTCTCCAGCGTCTCAAAAAAAATCACATATGTCTCCAGCGTCTCTAAAACCATCACATATGTCTCCAGTTTCTCTAAAACCATCGCCTATGCCTCCAGCGTCTCTATACACAGAGCATATGTCTCCAGTTTCTCTAAAACCAGCACATATGTCTCCAGCGTCTCTAAAACCAGCACATATGTCTCCAGCGTCTCTTAAAACAGAACATATGTCTCCAGTTTCTCTTAAACCAGCACATATGTCTCCAGCGTCTCTTAAAACAGAACATATGTCTCCAGTTTCTCTTAAACCAGCACATAAGTCTCCAATGTCTCTAAACACAGAACATGTCTCCAGTTTCTCTAAAACCAGCACATATGTCTCCAGCGTCTCTAAAAACATAGCATATGTCTCCAGCGTCTCAAAAAAATCACATATGTCTCCAGCGTCTCTTAAACCATCACATATGTCTCCAGCGTCTCTAAAACATAGCATATGTCTCCAGCGTCCCAAAAAAAATCACATGTGTCGCCAGCGTCTCTAAAACCATAACATATGCCTCCAGCGTCTCTATACACAGAGCATATGTCTCCAGTTTCTCAAAAAAAAATCACATATGTCTCCAGCGTCTCTAAAACCATCACATATGTCTCCAGTTTCTCTTAAATCAGCAAATATGTCTCCAGCGTCTCTAAAACCATCACATATGCCTCCAGCGTCTCTATACACAGAGCATATGTCTCCAGTTTCTCTAAAACTATCACATATGTCTCCAGCGTCTCTAAAAACATAGCATATGTCTCCAGCGTCTCAAAAAAAATCACATATGTCTCCAGCGTCTCTAAAACCATCACATATGTCTCCAGCGTCTCTTAAAACAGAACATATGTCTCCAGTTTCTCTTAAACCAGCAAATATGTCTCCAGCGTCTCTAAAACCATCACATATGCCTCCAGCATCTCTATACACAGATCATATGTCTCCAGTTTCTCAAAAAAAATCACATATGTCTCCAGCGTCTCTAAAACCATCACATATGTCCCCAGCGTCTCTAAAAACATAGCATATGTCTCCAGCGTCTCAAAAAAATCACATATGTCTCCAGCGTCTCTAAAAACATAGCATATGTCTCCATCGTCTCAAAAAAATCACATATGTCTCCAGCGTCTCTAAAAACATAGCATATGTCTCCAGCGTCTCAAAAAAAATCACATATGTCTCCAGTGTTTCTAAAACCAGCACATATGTCTCCAGCGTCTCTAAAACCAGCACATATATCTCCAGCGTCTCTTAAAACAGAACATATGTCTACAGTATTTCTTAAAACAAAACATATGTCTCAAACGTCTCTAAAAACAACGGACAGGTTTCCAGCGTCCCTTTAAACAGCACAGATGTCTCAAGCGCATATATACAAATAGCACATAACTGAGTCTCCGGTCTAATTTCGTGAACTGACGCAGTATCTTCATCTTCAAATGGAAGTTACCAGTAGTTATAATACAATTTAAGTAAGCATTTGCTATTTTAACATCCCTATATTTCCTACGTTGTTGAAACCAATCTTATCAACCTGTACAGTCTGCCTCGGGGAAACCAATAATATGTACGGATAAATCTGTCCCAGGGAAACCAATCCTATGTTCATTTACAATCTGTCTCGATGAAACCAATCCTATGTACCGGTACAATCTGTCTCGGGGAAACCAACCCTATGTACCGGTACAATCTGTCTAGGGGAAACCAACCCTATGTACCGGTACAATCTGTCTAGGGGAAACCAATCCTATGTACCGGTACAATCTGTCTCGGGGAAACCAACCCTATGTACCGGTACAATCTGTCTAGGGGAAACCAACCCTATGTACCGGTACAATCTGTCTAGGGGAAACCAACCCTATGTACCGGTACAATCTGTCTAGGGGAAACCAATCCTATGTACCGGTACAATCTGTCTCGATGAAACCAATCCTATGTACAGTCACACTCTGTCTCGGGGAAACCAATCCTATGTACAGTCACACTCTGTCTCGGGGAAACCAATCCTATGTACAGTTACAATCTGTCTCGATGAAACCAATCCTATGTACAGTCACACTCTGTCTCGGGGAAACCAATCCTATGTACCGGTACAATCTGTTTCGGGGAAACCAATCCCATGTACAGTCACACTCTGTCTCGGGGAAACCAATCCTATTTACAGTTACAATCTGCTTTGGGGAAACCAATCCTATCCACAATAATTTTAAAGACTTTGGTGTATTTCCCCAATTAGTCACAGTCCTGTGGCCCACGTGGGCCAATACCCACTATTTATACAAAATTGACTTCCCTTCTTTCAAGATTGCTTCTGACCTAATTTTTGCAATAATAATGATTCCTACAGGAGGTAGGACCCAACGTTTATACAAAATGAGCCTCCTTCCACTAAGGACGCTTCTGACCAAATTTGATATGACTAGTGGATATTTTTAGATAATGTTGACTAAGGCACGCCGGAAGCCATGCCGTTGCATTGACTCATCGGTAATTCGGATCAGGTGAATTAAAAGAAGATTTTGTCACTGATAGTACTTACAGATCTCCTACTAACCAGAAATCTTTTATGTTAAGAACAAAACTTGCACAAAATCTGATGTTTCGAACAACAAACTATTTGTAACTTACCTTGAAATATCTCCCTGCAAGACAAAATGGCAACATAATCATAATTCAAACTCAGTTTCCATAAAGGTATGGCAAAACATGTACAAAAGAAATATTTACACGGATACTTCTGAAAAAAGTACAAAGAGAAGAGACCAGGGGTTTCGAAACAGTAAGCATCTTGTACTTCATTGATGACACCCGTCATGCAAATCTTGGTCAATCCAAGTAAGTAATATAATGTTCTCAAATGATAACAAGCTATACAACAACGGAACCAACAGGCAAACTAACGAGCATGTCGCACAAAGAGATGAAATATTTCTCAATGAGATCACTATACCGACCATTAAACTTCCTAATAATTTTCATCCTTCTGCATCTTTTGAACCGTTGTGTTACGAGTTTGGAAGTCAGCTGACGACTTCTTGCACGAAAGTCGTGAAAATGGGAACAAGCCCTTGAATATTTAATCAGCTGTGACATGTTAATACCATAGGTTGGAGATGCAGGGATTTCCTATCAAGAAATGGAAAATTCTCAATAGGGAAATTGAAATCATCACATTTATCATACAACTTGCTGGAAAGAGTCAGTCGTATCTTTGATTTCCAGTTTTGATGGATATATACAATAAACATGACAATTAATTTCTAGTCATTGAAAGACAAGACGTTACTTAATGGCTGTAGAATGTCTCAAGTTGTCATCTCTCCTCCCAGTAAAACAACATTAAACTTGATCAGTCAATTACCTCTACCAAGCAACATCAGGAAAACACTGTTTTCCAAAACTCAAGTCAGACTGAAACAATCCAAAATGTTTCCTTCAAAGACAACCATTAGGATTATAAAACAAACCTGAGACTTTTCCCTATGCTAAATGAGATATTGCGTGTATATCTATTTACATTTCATCTCCATGATATGTTGCTGATTGTGATCACCTCCTAACCCTAACCCTAACTCTTACCCTCATTACAGTAACCGAAGGTATCCTGTCTCCGTCTCTGCCTTGAACGATGCCACACAGATACGTTTCCTTTTTGTATGAGAAGGACTTGATACCTACAAAAATGTTACTGTTCCGGAGATGATCAAGATATTTATTACCAACACTAGACGTTCTTATTATTCTCTCGTTATATCAGATTGTTATTTTTAAAATGCATAAAAGCAACAGATGTTTGCCAGCTGTTTGTCACAATTAAACTAAAAATAATCAGCTACTAGATTGGTTCAGACAATATCAACATTGACTTAAATGAAATAGCACCCGTCCGTCCTGATGACAATCTAAGAGTGTATCTCGAGTGTAAAGAAAGATCCTTGATCTAAAAACACGCTCCTTTCTCTAACAGGTATTTGTATACAATTTACTCGTGTCTCAAGCAGATCAACATCACGTCATGCATTCTCCCCGATTTTTGCAATCAAGGTCCTGCGAAACTTGACAATCAGAATAGATATATAATGTAGGTTTAAATGAGAACGAGTGAAAGAAACACTACCATTAGTTGTTATCATCAATGAGTGCACGTGCACTAAATGTCCCTTTAAGTGGAGGCATTTACAGACTCAATCTGTCCATAAGCTAGTACAATTCTGTGCCTGGTCCAGAAAGTTGTCATGCAGATCAAACCTTGATAGAGAATGTTTGTAGATTGAATGAATGAAAAGTCATTTTTACTTAAAAGATAAGTATGACATCGGTAGTGAATCTTTCATTTAACATATTATATTTCATACATATTTTATATTCACATCTGCATCAAGTGTTTAGACTTTGAATAGTGTGAAGAGGACATTGGAGGAGAAAGAAGTGAGAACAAACGACAACTTGGTAAACGCAATTACAGGCAGGGTGATTAACAAGGTAGGAATTAAACAATCTTTAACATATTAATTGCTCAAGCATGTATATTTAATACCCTTTACCCCAACACAACCTGAATGCATAACCAAAACGGAAGAGACTATCAACGTGACCTAACAAATACAACAACAGAGATGGCTCATGCCACACTCAACACCAATAGGCGTGCCCAGTAACACTCTCAACAAAAACAAAAATAGTGGCCTTCACCAACAGATGTCGTGCATCCTGCCGATTGACCCACACAAAACCAAAAGACCTGGTGCATCTTGACACACCCATAAAAAAGATGTCGTGCCTCGAGATAAATCTTACCAATAGTTGTCGTGCCTTGTGACACACCGAACAGCAAAAGATATCATACCTCGTGACACACTCAACATCAAAAAGATGTCATGCCTCGAGATAAATCTTACCAAGAGTTGTCGTGCCTTGTGACACACCGAACAGCAAAAGA